GTCCAACAGGAATAGCATACACGAGAAACAACAAAATCATTGTCTTGGACAGCAAGAATTACAGAGTACAAATCTTTGACAATACTGGCCGCTTCCTCATGAGTTTTGGCAAAAAAGGATCAAATGAGGGCGAACTGGGACAGGCGGAGGGTATTTCAGTCGATGACAATGATAATATTATTGTCACTGATACTGAAAACAACCGAGTGCAAATCTTTCTGTTGGATGGTACATTTGTACGTCAATTTGGTGCGCATGGCCCAGAGGGGTTTGACAGACCGTTAGGAGCTGTACACCACAAAGGTGAATTTTATATTTCTGACAAGGGAAACAACTGCGTGAAAGTATTTGATAACAATGGAATTTATGTGCGGCAGTTTGGAAGAGTAGGAAATGCCACCAGTGAATTTAGATGTCCCAGGGGAATTACTGTTGATAAGACAAATGATCGCATTTTGGTGTGTGATAGTGAAAATCACTGTGTACATGTTTATAAGCTAGATGGTACGTATGTCACAAAATTTGAAACAAAAAAGACTCCAGTTGGAATTGACCTCCTTAAAGGAAGGCAGGTAATTGTATCGTCATACTACGGTCATTGCTTTCAAATTCTGTCATATTCATGATAGCAACGTTAATTTTAATACTTGTTAGTTCAGCTCAGGCATCTTCCTTTGTCACATAACTTACAAGGACATGTAATACCTGGGTAGTGTAACACAATATCTGAAGAAAATGGCAAAGGGATGCTCAGGTTGTCAGGGTTGAGTCCCCATTTGTGGGGGGGGGAATACTCCCTATACTGGCCTACACAGGGAGGCTATGCCCAAATTACTACCTACAGTGTAAAAGCAATTTTCCATTGTTTTTATATTCTGTTAAAAGGCCAGTTATCAAGGTTTTTGTATAGTTTTGCACTTTGACTTTTTTTCAAAAAAAAGAGGGGAAGGTTAAATGCATGTAGTTCAGTTTTTCAAAACCTATAAATTAAAGTGTTTTCAAATCCATGCAACTTTGTTTTAGATTTTTTTGTGGTTTTATAAAAAAATATTGAACAGTATAAAACTTTAACTGAGCGCGAGCAAGGGTAGTGATGAGATCACATCTCTCACTGATGTAGCCTGGCTTCAACTCCTGAAAGCTACTCCATAGGTGAGTTGAGTTTGTTGTTGGTTCTTGCCCTTGCTTTGCGAGATTGTTATCTGGGTTTAAGTCCCATGCATTACGGGGGTTGGGTGGGGAGAGAGGAGAGGGATTACCATGTAGGGGCTATGTGTCACCCAGTGGGGTATACTTTGGCCTCTCTGACTCTGAAAGAGCCAACATTTCGCGACAACGCCACTGGTTTCCCCATGAAGTAACATCTGAGAAACGAGTGCACAAATTCCATACTAATGATGCAAAACTAACCAGATCTGGGAAGTGCTTCTGACTGTTTGAAGCAAATTTTCAGCCAATCAGAAGCACTACCCATATCTGTGTAGTGTTGCGTCATCAACATAGAATTTCTGCACTTACCGTATTTATTCGAATAAGTGCCCAACCTCGAATTAGCACCCACCTCGAATAAGCGCCTATCCTAAAGGCAGAAAAAGTTAATAAGCGCCCACCCCACCCCACCCCACCCCTTTTCCCCTCACACCTCCCAAAAATTGAATAAGTACTAATAAGAGACTTCCCCGAAGACGGAGTTTTCTTCAGAGTATTTTACAGAAACCTTGCTTTATTACATCTTCGCGTTTTGTTTTTACCATTTATTGTTTTGTTGCAAAATAAACATACTACACTTGCTGAAAATGTTGAAAATTTAATAAGCGCCCAGCCTCAAATAAGTGCCCACCTCGAATAAGCGCCCACTCTCAAGGTCCAAAAATTTAATAAGCGCCCAGGGTGGTTAATCGAATAAATACGGTATTTCTTAGATATCATTTCATGGGCAAACCAGTCTGCTGGCGTCGCAAAGTGTTGGCTGTTTTGTCAGGATATGAAACAGATGGGTGATGGGCCTGCGTCCCTGATGCATAAAAATCCTCAAAGACAAAAAATAATACTCAGCATACTTCCCGTAGGATGCAAGGATGATCGATCTGAACATGTACGTGTAAAGAAGGAATATCCTGTTTGTGTAATTTCTGTGGCAGTTATTGTGGCTGTTGTTTCACTATGCATATTTCTTTTAGCCTTTGTTGTGCTTTAACATAGAAGGACTATATTTAATTTCAGTATACTGTAATACAGAGTTTAAGAGTCTGTCTTCAGATTAACCATCTGGTTACACAAAAGCCCAAACATTTTAAATTTTGGACTCTTTTTTTTTTACTGGAACTCATGATTTTTCACAAGATGAGTCCCAGAACTCACCATACCTATTTGTAACAAAATCACTTCTATCCCTGGAGCAGTTTCAACATTATGCAAATTCTGCTCCACAGTTGTTGTAATGATGATATTGATTACCCAAATGCATTATAAAGGTTAAAACATGATATTGGCAAAGAAAAAACAAGTGTGTGACAATTAGATTGGGAAATGTGGATTTAGATTTTAAAATCTGGATTTCGGGTTTGCAAATGAACGTGAAATTCGAAAATGGATTTCATCGCTGAGATATCTGTTTTTGGACTTCCTTTTTACCATTCGTTTAGGAAATCCAAAAAGGGATTTGAAAAACTGTCCTTAATATATATACAGCAGTCTTGCATGCGCACGCATAATAAGCAAAAGGAAGACCGCTATTCACTAGAAGAGTTTTGCAATTGCTTTTTTCAGATTTCACCATCGAACAGTAAAAAGGAAATCCATTAAATCCTGATTTGGATTTCTTAATTGAAATCGACTGAGGTGAAATCCGTTCTTGGATTCGCATTTGATTGCAAAATCCAAAATCCGGATTTCAAAATCTAAATCTGGATTACCCAATCAAATGCAACCAATGTGTACGTATTTTTTGTTTGTCTGGAAAAGGGTTCCACTGTTACATCCCCCTTCCCCCTGGGTTGAAAATTCAACATACGTTTCTTGTCTCTTTTCAGAATTAAACAACATTCCCAAATTCAAATTAGATCAAGAGTCACTTGCTACGTGGCATCTAAATCATTATTATTTTATTATTATTATTTTCTTTTATTTATAGGTTTCTCTGTTATTTTAATAAACCCTCTACCCTAATCTTCACATCCAGCAATGAAGCCAACATGGTGGCTTGGAACAGGAATTTTTTGGGGTTTAATATCGAGAAAACTTAAATTATGGGAAATAAGAACAATAAGCCTTAAGGACTATTGTCATTGATGACATACCCCAGACATCTTATTTCATCAAATTATTCGTTCATAAAGTAAAATTTTTATTCTTTACATTAGCTGAATTTTTTATGCTTGCTTGTTCAAATAATTATTTTTAGTAAAATAATAAATATAATTAAATTTGAACAAGCAGGCATAAAAATATACTTACTTAAATAAGGTACATGTCATTTTATTGGTTTACGTAATGGAAATTCTACAGTAAATGCACAAATGTTTTTAAAAACATTGGTTTTTCCTGAATAATTTAACCTGGAAATTCATTGTACAGTAAACTATATAACAACTATTGTTGTACAGTACTTACCCGCTTATAAGAACCTGTATTTAAGAACCTGTTAGCCTAAAATTCTCAATTTAGACCCCATTTAAAAATTTGAAACATGTTTCAATATTTTTCCTGAATAAAAATTAACCTTACATAAATTAATATATATTCATCATTGTATAATATATTTCTCATTATATAAGAACCTATTTAAGACCCTATAAAATTCCAAAACAATTTACATAAGAACCCGTTTAGTTAAAAAATATTCTTATAAGCGCTGAAAAAATTTTTTCCCAGAAGCACATGCTCTCATTGGTTACTTCGAGGTCACATGACATCTAACAATGAAACTGTTTCCCACCAAAATCACTGAACGGGAGACATTGCAAAATCTATGACAGTAGAGGGTAAAAGTGCACTGTTACCCTGCGCAAATGTTGACTGACGAGTGCTGTTACAGAGGGGTTTAATGAATTTCCAGCTACATAACAAATCACTTAAAGACTGGTGTTCTCTTTAATCTCAATGTTTCCCTCGGTGATTCTTGGGAAATGAAATTAACTGTTTCCTAATGGACGAGTCATTAAGTTTTAAAAAATTATCCCTTCTTCTTGACTTTCTCAAAAACATCTTTGAAAAAAATCATTGTGCAGTCATAATGAAAAACTCTCATGTCCAGAGTGATGACCTATAATCAAAGCAGACTGTCCAACCATCCCAGTCTTATCAGGATTCTCCTGCTTTTCCTTGAAAATCACCAATCCTGACCAATATGCAATTGTGCTAGGAAAAATTTTGACATCTGTTCTGATATTTTTAAATGAATTCTTCTGACTATAAAATAATACAGAACATCTAACAGAGTATATACTTAACTGAAAGTAATAACCAGAAAACTGCACTAAAAAAAAAAACTGCACGAAATATAAAATAAAATCGAGTAGTTGTAACATGGTAATTAATTACTTTTGAAAATATGCATAAACATGACATTATAGATTTCAGTGAACATTTTCAACAGAAATCAGTTGTCTTCTAGCAGACAAAACAATAGAGCATCAAGATTTTAATCCTAGCAGTGTGCACCTTCGGTGCTAGCACGATTCGTCGGTGGTTATATCTAGATTAATACCCTGATTTTACATACTCAAAAGGTTGGAAAGTCTGTCAAGGAAAAACACACTTTCTTTGATCTTTATTGTTTCATTTTAACCTGCAGTCTAGATCTGGTCCTTCTTCCCTTTTTTTTTTGGAGGTGAGGGGAAAAGGACTTTCCCCCTTTCTCTGTCTGCCGACTCCAAAAGATTGCAGGTTAGTTTCATTTCTAATCTGACCTCTAAATTTACACATGCCAAGCCTCCAAAAAGTTATTCCAAGAAAGCTGAAGACAACATGTCAGCAAATTCAAACATGTCGAAAACTTTGTGGAGTCAACAGTATTAGGTAACCCTCATCTAATAATTTCAAATCTTGCAGTTTTGCCAGAGGGTTTTCTCTGAAGCATAGGAAATTTCATCACATTTTTGTTGACATAATATTCCCACGCTGCTTATTGTTGCAGGCCCCAAAAATGTGCCATAATTTTGAGCTTGCCTTGCAGTTGTTAAGCATTCGGTCAGGGTATACAGTTGGCAAACGACACAATGCAAAATCGAATTTAATTGGTGCCTTGAGCATATATACAGTCTGAAGGTTAATACCGGTATGTTAAATGTGCAGTCATGTAACCAGTGTTGCAAGAGCCAACCCGTACCTAGTGTTCTGTAACGGAGGAGCTGCCATCCACTTCCCGGCCTTGGTGTCATAGCTTTCAGCTGAATTCAGATTTCTCAAGCCATTGAACCCTCCGACAACATACAGACAACTGCCCATGACACTTAATCCATAGCTGCTCCTGGGAGATAACATGGGTCGAATTCTATACCATCTTCCTTCACGTGGATCAAACCTTTCGGCAGAGTTTAACCAGGAGGAGTTATAGCCTCCAAGAGCATAAATTGACCCTGTTATATATTAACAAATATGTAAGAAAAAATTAAAGGGAGGTTACAACTGCATAACTATATAGGCCAGAATATAAAATGCTCATTGAGATCAGGAATTTGCACAGTTTATTCAATTATAGAATGGGGTAATTTCATATTCAAGATGTTTACTTGAATGGGATATAATAAAATTTTTTGGAAGACATGAATATAAACACAGCTGTAACGAAATTTTTCCCCAACAGCAAATGTTCTCATTTGACTTCGAACAATAAAACTGTTTCCCTGAGAGCTGTCTTGCAATATTAGCAGCTAAACAAATGAATTATTATTATCAAGAATGGGGTACTTAAATTTAACATACTTATTTCTGGAAGAGGGTATAACTTTTGAACCAAAACCCCGTCTAAATTAACAGGGATCCAGACTTGGTGGCTGGTTTACCTTGATCCTAGCCATCACAGCAAGCTTTTCCAATTAAGTTAAGTGTGAAAGTTGGAGCAAGAGACAGAAATGGAGGGAAGGGGAAGGGGAGAAGACCCTCCTCTTACTTTCTCCTGTTTGCTCTCATCCCAACTTCCTCGCCAAACAGGTGCAGAAATGCTTGTTATGGAGGCTACCTTGTTGCTTTTTCTTCCCCTCAACGATAATCTCGTTAACTACATCTGACTGTCTCACCATCTTTCTGAACTGCACTCAAGTATGCCCGCGGCTCTGATAGGGGAGACACAGACTGCCAAATCCCTCTCTGAGCTTCAAAGCACTCAACTGATGTGAGATACCCATATGAACTCTCGTTCTCTCCACCAAATCCACCAATAGCATAGACAGAGCCTGCTATTTCTGCAGCACCGAGATAATTTCGTTTTGTCCTCATTGGTGTTATCAATGACCAGTTGTCAATCCAAGAGTCATACACCTCCACTGATGACAGATAGCCTGAAAATTTACTAAAACCACCAATCGCAATAGGTTGTCCATTCAAGATGGCAGCAGCAGCACCCATCCGCTCGACATGCAAAGGCGACAGTTGATGCCATTCGTTACTTGGCCATTCGTAGCGTTCTACACAATCCAACACCTCCTCAGAAGAATTCCCACCAATTATATAGACATGGCACCCAGTAGACGCGGCTGCCATGTAATTTCGTCCCTTTTTCATGGGCGCCAGTGGCATCAAGTCATCTAGCTGTCCTGGAATGTCCCAGCTCCATCTGTCATTGTTTGAACAGAGACATTGAGAGCTGCTTAAGTACATTCCCTCGGACTCCCCTCCTATGGTCAAAATAATTTCACGGCCAGTTCGGTGAGAGCGCAGAGCAATCCCGTTGAATTTGTGAGTATCTGGCGTATTTGAAGATTGCATGGCTTCTAGAATCATACGCTGGCATTCAGAGGTCTCTTGAATAATTGGATCTTTTAGAACGCAGTTTTTCAGAAAATCAGAAGAAACCTTCGTCGAGCAAAATCTCTTGATAAGACAGGGGGCGTGACGCTGGCGTTCTAAAGGACGAAAGTTCAGCCACTCTAAAACGCCGTTCAAGAGTTTCTCCTTGCAAGCAACGCTAAGAAATTTGCAATCAAGCAAAGCATCTAAAGATTCGAAGGGCTGCAACAAGAATTCTTCCTGCTTAAGAACATCGTCAAAGTGATCAGCAACGAATTGATGCGATGACTCGAAAAGATTGTGGCACGACAGACACTCGGCAAGCAAGCGGATCCCCAAACAGTTGTAAACTCTTAACGCCTTTTGCAGAAAAACGCAGCAAGCGTGCCTGACCTTATCAAACTGAAGAACGGCTGAAGCATACAATAGGGACTGTACGTTACATTCATTAATTTCTGCGACTCCACTGTACGCATATTGAACAAGCACTTCAACTGCAACTCCATCAATTTCATACAGTACGACGCGGTCTTGACAGCTCTCCGCGAGTTTTCCGAGAAACATTGCCCTGAAATATGGACTTCCAGCCGCGAGAATCACTCGATGAGCTGGTATTTCTCTGCCTTCCACGCTTAATACGATGTCACAAAGTAATCCGTTTGCCCGGAAAGCAGCTAAATTCTCAAAGGCAGCGTTTGAATGGTCTCTGTCTCTGAAAACAAACATCTTCGACGCAGTTTCCGTCATGATGCCGGTATCTCGAAATCCATGCCGAGGCATATTTTCGAGGGTTTTCATGTTAGTTTTCAAGCAAGCGTTATTAAATATGCATATTATGCTTGGACACAGCCTTAGTTTCTGCGGCAAACCCAAACAAATAAGCTTTTACTTCAAGTCAGTCAAGACAGTCAAGATTATGGTGATTCCCTGTTGTTTACCCTGTCAATTTTACCATGTCAACACACAATTTTAAAGACAGCTGATTGGCTGGTTGATTCTCAAGTCACGTTGTCACGAAGTTGTCACGTTTACAAACGCTTACCAGTAAAATCCTCCAGAGCAAACAAAATATAATATATCGATGTGCCTACAAATTACACTGAATGCAGAATATTATTTTCATACTGAAATAATAATAATAAAAAATTCGTGACCATCAAGAAATGTTTTTCACGTGAAATCTCAATCAGGTCCAAAGATCAAGGTCAAACACATTTTGGCGGGAGTTCATGCTACGATTTGAACACGTGAAGCGGTAGGGGTATTCCTTTACATTATATGGGGTATGTGCAGCCCCATCGGGTTTCATTTTTGCGCCGTTTTGATCTGAAAACGGGGATACCCTTTGCCTATGTTGATCTAGCCTGCGTGGCAGGCGCAAAAAGGGCAGGGGGAGGGGGAGGGAGAAAAGCACAAATTCTATCAAAATATCCCTTCTCTCCCTACCCCCCTCTTTTTTTCCCTTTTTCCCTATCCCCTACCCCTTTCGACGCCTGCTACGCAGGCTAATGTTGATCTGGAATCGGGTATGGTTTTCGAGGGAACCACGGAAATGTATAAACGTATTTATCGTTTCAATTCCAAATGAGTAAGAAAGAAAGAGCAATACTGAAATGAATTTGAAGAATTTCTTGTTTGCTCTCTAACAAGGCTTAGTAATGATAACATAATTTCTGCCTAAAGGTTAGATCTGAAAACGGGTATGGATTTTAGAGGTCTGGTCTGAAAACGAGTGAGGAAAATGACATTTTTGGTCTGAAATAGGGAGAACCGGGCAACACACCCCCACCAAGAATTCCTATGAGTACCCCCGGGAGAAAACTTCTCAAGAGAAGAATGCATACAGCCGGGACAGGTAGAATAAAAAAAAATGTATGCTTAAAAAACATGAGCACAATTTACACGCAAAGCAGAAAAATGCTGGCCGTAACAAAATTGCCATAACATGTTATGACTGGCTCATCCCCAGGCTCCTCTCATCATTTGTATAAACGGTCATAAGGGAGCTTATTAAAGAAATGTCGATGGCGGAGACGTTAACGAGAGCGGCGAAAAAGCAACAGGTTAAGATTGGCAAAACAACAACTTTGCACATGCATCACCTTTTTTTTGCACATTTCGATCTTTGCCGTCACTGCACGACATGCCTAATTTAAGACGTGACAAAAATAAAAAGGCGGCAAGGCAACGATTTTCTTTTTCTTTTCCTTTTCCTGAACTTCGATAAAGTCTTTTTAAATTCAACTCCAGAAAAAATTGCCAAAATTTGACGAACTGAACAAGGTGGAATAAGCGCGATCAAGTTTGAAGTAGCGCAACTTTACCTCAGTTTAACTGACGTTTTTGTAGCCGTCGCCGTAGTTGTTGCTTTAAAAGCTCCGTACTAGGGACCTTAAGATCCGACGACGGCGACGGCAACGGGAACGCCACAAAAACAATAGGTTTAATAACCAAAAAACAACAATTTTGCGCGTGCATCACGCTTTTTTGTACATTTCTTTGCCGTCACTGCACGACTACGACGTGAAAATGCCTAATTTCACATTGTACAGAGAAAGTACACAAGCGACGACGAGATTTCCTCTCTCTGTCTGCACTTGGCTATGGTACTTACGAATTCAACTTTAGGATGGTCCGCCTACATTGGAAAATGAAAAAAATGTGACTTGGAGTGTTAGTGACTTGGAGTAATCGCGATGAAGATTGAAAGAACACGAATTCACTTTTTCAGCGACGTTTTCTCTGCCGTCGCCGTGAGCGTCCTCGGATCTAAAGATCCCTATTGTCCTCAAGGTAACGGAAAGGTCTCACCATTAAAGCAATAGACCACACTTTCTATGGGTTTACCGACGTGATAACCCACGCAGGATGTTGGGAGAACGCGTGAAAAGCTGGTAAATCACGAGCCGAAGGCGAGGAAGAAAGTGTGGTCTATTGCTTTTATAAAGTAAATAATTTCTATGAGTTTACCGGCGGAATAAACCATAGGTTTTCAACCAATCAGAACGCACGTACTATCTTAGTTATTTTATAAATTGCAATATCCTCTTTCCCTTTCCACCTCACCGCGCGCATCTCCAGGGGGACTGACTCTATTTAGAGGAATGGCGGACTGACGGAATGATGGAACGGAATGGCGGAATACACATGATACACGGAATATTCTAAGATGTCTGTATTAAGCGGACCTCTATTAAGTGGTCACCCTCTATTAAGCAGTCACTTACCAAAGTCCCGGAAATCATGGTCTTCACCTCTATTAAACGGTCGCTTTGAGAAGAAGTACCATTTTAGTGCAACAGGTCGCATAGTGTCTGACGTCAAGTGGACTTTAACTTTTTTCTTTTGGCCCAAGAAGAGGTAGAAACAGGTGGAGGTCAATTTGTCGCGAGATAGATATTTCGCTCTTTGACTAGCTTCGTTTTCTTGAATAACTCTCACGTTTGTCAAACCTGTATTAAATGGTCAATCTGTACTAAGCGGTGAGTAAGCCATTCCCAAAGGGTGACCGCTTAAAACAGGTTTGGCTGTAAACGGAATACTCTAAAACACGGAATTTACAGAACATTTTGTATTTTTGATTTTAACTGGACTGACAAAAAACCAGAGGCAAAGAATACACGATTGTTTTGAACTATTAAAAATTCGATTTTCGTACTGCCGTACACTATGGCCCTTTAATATGACGGTTTTGAAAGCCCTCTGGACAGGTGAAGGGTCTTGTATAGGAATTTAATGTCGGATAATTTTCGTAAACGGATGTTCTGAGAAAAAAAACAGAATTGTAAACTTAAGCTTCACAGCAAAGGATTGTAGTAACAATTAATGGGGGCCGCACCCGTGCCTTAATTTGTGAGGTCGTTTGCTTTAAATTTGTCAGACATTTGTCTGCAATTTTTCATAGGAAATTTTAGTCGGCAGGAAGAAAAAATTGTTTTACACGCAAGATTGTATATTTTCACGCGGTTACCTACCGTAATCAGGAGCACCCAACGAGAATATAATTCACAACCACTTAAACATAGCATTGTTAAACGTATTTTAGTATTTAAACGGTAGATATAGGCATATTTTCATCCCCTAAAAAGTTTTCATCTGCTCGGATTTCCTAGAAGAAAGTCTAGTGCTCCGAAAAACATACCTTTTCGAAAATTTCAGCCAGAAAAAAAGCTTCCGAAAATTCTAGGTGACCTTTTTAGGGTAAAAATCCGTTAAAAACGGGCAATTTTTGGATGTTCGAAAATCGTAAGAGAGGCAGGCAAGCAAGAAATTTTACAACAAATGTTCCGAAAATTCTAGATCTCAAATCGTCTTCCAAACAGATATTTCCCGAAAATCGACGTTGGCTACCCCTGCGTAATGATTCGATTGAGCACCCTCTTCCAAAAAGAACCCCTTTTCGAATAAGCGCCCCCGTTCTGCTAAGCGCCACTATACTAATATACTAGAGTACAGGTACGTATCAACCAAGGTTCATCTTCCTTTAATTACTCACACACGAACGAGACTGTCACATTAAAAAAACAGTGGTCTTATGTCGATATAAATGCATTAATTCTTCAAACGAATGATCACTTCTTCAAATTTTGTGGCAAGTGCTCGGCTGGTCGGTCTGGCAAACAAGGATCCAAAGACACCCGTTGATCTTACAACCAGGAGATCAAACAACATGGGATTCTTACAACCGGGAGTTCTTACAACCAGGGGTCTTAGAACATGGGTTCTTACAACCAGAAGTCTTACAAGCAGGACTTCTTACAACCAGGGTCTTACAACCAGAACTTCTTAAAACAAGGGATCTTACAACCAGGGGTTCTTACAACCAGGAGTTCTTACAACCAAGGGTCTTACAACAAGGGGTTCTTACAACCAGGGGTCTTACAACCAAGGGTTCTTACAATCAGGCTTCTTACAAGCAGGACTTCCTACAACCAGGGATCTTACAAGCAGGACTTCTTACAACCAGGGTCTTACAACAAGGGGTTCTTGCCCCGGGGGGGGTACTGCCATATATGGGCTATATAGGAATGTGCCGCTGTGAAGGGTATGGTTTTCAAGCAGTTTACCCTAGGATAGGGTATATATATCAGAGCGTTTGGCTCTAGAATAGGGTATCATTTTTCAGGAAACTGATCAGTTGGTTGAAGATTTTATCTAGACTAGGTACACAGCTACTCTAGGATAGGGGGATTTGGGGAGTTTACTCTAGTATAGGGTAGCAAAATTCAGCTGAACTAGCTCTGGTAACGGTTAAGGGTTCCAGGCTCCCAGCGGCACATCCCCACCCAGAAGTTCCTAAAGTCCCCCCCCGGGGGTTCTTGCAATCAGGGGTCTTACAAGCAGGGCATCTTACAACCAGGCGTTTTACAACAAGAGGCTTTTACAACCAGGGGTCTTACAACCAGGAATTCTTACAACCAGGGGTCTTACAACCAGGAGTTCTAACAACAAGGAATCTTACAACCAGGGGTTCTTACAACCAGGAGTCTTAAAACCAGGACTTAATTCTCACAACAAGGGGTCTTACAACCAGGGGTTCTTACAACCAGGTCTCTTACAACCAGGACTTCTTACAACCATGGGTCTTACAACCAGGCGTTCTTAAATCCAGGGGTGTTACAACCAGGGTTTCTTACAACCAGGGGTCTCACAACCAGGGGTTCTTACAACCAGGGATCTTAAAACGAGGACTTCTTACATCACGGTGTCTTACAACCAGGGGTTCTTACAACCAGGTCTCTTACAACCAAGACTTCTTTCAACTAGGGGTCTTACAACAAGCGGTTCTTTCAACCAGGCGTCTTACAACCAGAGGTTCTTACAACCAGGCTTCTTACAACCAGGCACTTCTTACAACCAGGCGTCTTATAACAAGGGGTTCTTACAACCAGGGGTCTTAAAACGGGTTCTTAAAACCAGCAGTCTTGCAACCAGGGGTCTCAGAAGCAGGGCTTGTTACAAGCAAGGTGCTTACAACAAGTGGTTCTTCCAGCCAGGGGTCTTACAACCTGAGGTTCTTACAACCAGGCTTCTTATAACCAGGACATCTTAACACCAGGGGTTAAGGCAACTAGGGGTCTTAAAACTAGGGGTTCTTAAAACCAGGAGGTCTTACAACTAGGAGTGTTACAACTAAGGGGTTTTTACAACCAGAGTTCTTACAATCAGGGGTTCTTACAACAAGGGGTCTTAAAACCAGGACTTCTTAAAACAAGGAATCTTACAACTTTGGGACTTACAACCAGTGGTTCTTAAAACCAGGGGTCTTACAACCAGGAGTTCTTACAACCAGGGTTCTTACAACCAGCAGTTGTTAAAAAAAGAGGTCTTAATTACAACAAGGACTTCTTACAATCACGAGTCTTGCAAGCAGCGGTTCTTACAACTAGGGGTCTTACAACCAGGGCTTCTTACAACAAGGCGTCTTACAACCAGGGGTTCTTACAACAACGGGTCTTAAAACCAGGACTTCTTAAAACAAGGGGTCTTACAACTTTGGGACTTACAACCAGTGGTTCTTACAACCAGGGCTCTTACAACCAGGAGTTCTTACAACAAGGGGTCTTACAACCAGCAGTTGTTAAAACACGAGGTCTTACAACCAGGAGTTCTTACAATCACGGGTCTTACAACCAGATGTTCTTACAACCAGGAACTTTTACAAGCAGGGGTCTTACAACCAGGGTTTCTTACAACCAGGGGTCTTACAAGATGGGGTTCATACAACTACTGATCTTTCAACCAGGGGTCTTACAACCAGGACTTTTTACAACCAGGGATCTTACAACCAGGGGTCTTACAACCAGGGGTCTTACAACCAGGGGTTCTTACAACCAGGGGTCTTACAACCAGGTCTTCTTACAACCAGGGTCTTACAACAAGGGGTTCTTACAACCGGGGGTCTTACACTCAGAGGTTTTTACAACTACGGGTCTTACAACTAGAGGTTCTTCAAAAAGGGTTCTTAAAACCAGGGGTTCTTACAAGCAGGGGTCTTATAACCAGGGAATCTTACAACCAGGGGTCTTACATTTTTTTTTTTACAACCAGGGCTCTTACAACCAGGACTTCTTACAACAAGGGGTCTTACAACCAGGGGTTCTTACAAGCATGGATCGTTCAACCAGGACTTCACACAACTGGCGTCTTAAAACAAGGGGTTCTTACAGCCAGGGGTCTTACAACAAGCTGTTCTTACAACCAGGAGATTTACAACCGGGGATTGTTACAACCAGGGGTTCTTACAACCAGGTCTTCTTACAACCAGGGTTTTACAACAAGGGGTTCTTAAAACCATGGGTCTTACACGCAGGGGTTCTTACAACAAGGGGTCTTACAACTAGGACTTCTTACAACCAGGGGTCTTAGAACCAAGAGTTCTTACAACCAGGGGTCTTACAACTAGGACTTCTTAACACCAGGGGTCTTACAAGTAGGACTTCTTACAACCAGGGGTCTTACAACCAGGACTTCTTACAACCAGTGGTCTTTCAACCAGGGGTTCTTACAACCAGGTGTCTTACAACTAGGACTTCTAACAACCAGGGGTCTTTCAACCAGGACTTCTTAAAACCAGGGGTCTTGAAACCAGGGGTTCTTAAAACCAGGGGTTTTACAACTAGGACTTCTTACAACCAGGACTTCTTACAACCAGGGGTCTTACAACTAGGACTTCTTACAACCAGGGGTCTTACAACCATGGGTTCTTACGACAAGGGGTCTTACAACTAGGACTTCTTACAACCAGGGGTCTTAAAGGTAGGACTTTTTAAAACCAGGGCTCTTACAACTACGACTTCTTACAACCAAAGGTCTTAAAACAAGGGGTTCTTACAACAAGGGGTCTTAACACCAGGAATTCTTACAACAAAGGGTCTTACAACCAGGACTTCTTACAACAAGCGGTCTTACAGCAAGGGGTTCTTACAACAAGGGGTCTTAGACCAAGGACTTCTTACAACCAGGGGTCTTACAACCAGGACTTCTTGCAACAAGGGGTCTTACAACCAGGACTTCTTTTAACCAGGGGTCTTACAACTAGGACTTCTTACGACCAGGGGTCTTACAACCAGAGGTTCTTACAACCAGGAGTCTTACAACCAGGACTTCTTACAACCAGGCGTCTTACAACCAGGGGTCTTACAACCAGGACTTCTTACAACCAGGGGTCTTTTAACCAGGGGTTCTTACAACCAGGGGTCTTAAAACCAGGACTTCTTACAAAAAGGGGTCTTACAACCACGCGTTCTTACAACCAGGCTTCTTACAACCAGGACTTCCTACAACGAGGGGTCTTACAACAAGGGGTTATTACTACCAGGGGTCTTAAAACCAGGGGTTCTTACAACTAGGGGTCTTACAACCAAAACTTCTTACAACCAGGGGTCTTACAACAACGGGTTCTTACAATTAGGGGTCTTACAACCAGGACTTCTTACAACTAAGGGTTCTTGCAACTAGGGGTCTTACAACTTTGGCCTCTTACAACCAGCGGTCTTACAAGCAGGGCTTCCTACAACTAGAGGTCTTACAAGCAGGGGTTCTTGCAACCAGGGGTCTTACAATTAGGGGTTTTTACAACAACTGGTCTTCCAAGCAGGACTTCTTACAACAAGGGGTCTTACAACCAGGGGTCCTACAAGCAGGACTTCTTACAACCAGGGGTCTTACAACAAGGTTTTCTTACAACCAGGGGTCTTACAACCAGGGGTTCTTGCAACCAGGGGTCTTACAACCAGGTTTTCTTACAACCAGGGGTCTTACAACCAGGGGTTCTTACACCCAGGGGTCTTACAACCAGTGGTTTTTACAACCAGCGGTCTTACAGCTAGGGGCTCTGACAACCCATAGTCTTGCAACAAGGGGTTCTTACAACCAGAGGTCTTACGACCAGGGGTTCTCACAACCAGGGGTTCTTAGAACAAGAGGTCTTCCTGGTTTTTTATTTATTTACTTAATCGCTTTCACCATGACTACAATGGGAGAAAAGACTAGGAAAAAGAAAAATACATTTGAACTAGCCACGAAAAGGAGAGTCGAAGGTGCGGGACACACAACAGAGCGAGCTCGAGGCTCCAGAGTACGAAAAATACGCAAATACTAACTATGTAAACATTAAAACATTATAAGAAATATGAAAATCCTATTTTCAAAAACAATAAGAACGAATCACTGCCGCAGCCGATAAATAGTCTTAGTAGCAGCAGTTGCAAGTTAATAGAAGATTACGTGACCTACTGCATTTGCAACAGATGGACTTCCAGGTGTTAAAAGTTAGTGACGTCAGAGATTGTACGAAAAGCAGCCAAATAGCGTTGGAAAAAAGTATTAGGGAAACCAGTTGCGTTAGACACTGGATAAAGATTTATCCAATAGACAGCGCTGTTTAGTTTTTGACCAACTGGGGCCAGATAAAATCGAAAGCACAATAAAAAATAAGTAGTTTTTCTTTTATTCTAGTTTCGTTTATACCACCACATGAGAAATTTCTGCAATTTGATTGGCTTAGAGCAGTGGTATTTCAGCTTAATATGAAATACCTACATGTGAAAATTACAAACCTTCCGCGGGTAGTAGTATAGACAAATAATAGCATAATTTGTACGTGATATTTGGCATAAATACCACTCGTGAAATTTTTAAAATTGTATCAAATTTCACTCGCCTATCGGCTTGTGAAATTACGTATATTTTGAAATATTACTCGTGGCATTTATGCCAAATATCACTACTAATCATGCTATTACCTATACAAATTATGTCTAAAATATAATGTATCTACCATAGTTTTACCCCTGTGCGCTGCTAATCTACAATAATGGGACCACGGGTGACGGAAATATTTCACTATTTGTCATGAATTCTAGAAAATTCTCCATTTTTTTCACATCACTAAAGCGTGCTTTAGTGATGGCATTACAGACACCGTGCCTCAGTGTCTTGGTTTAAACCTCTGCTTGATAATTGCAAAATACTATATTTACACCGCGTCTAAAAATGAGGAAGATTATTTTTTCGACGCTTTTTTGTCTATCCTTAAAAATAAAATACAAATTGAAACTAGCAAAGCTAAGGTGCAAGTCAAGCTGTAAAAATAATTTTCTTGATTCTGGCTAATTTCCCTTGTTTTTTCGCTTTTTTGTTTTGTTTGTTTGTTATTTATTTATTTATTTATCTATTTTTTTGTCGTTTTTAGCGTATTCACTCTTCGTTAATAGATAGTAAGTTAGTTATTAGTGTATTAGAATGCTTTTTTCATTATTTTGTAACAGACTCCAACTCATCGGCTCCTGTTTTATAAGCATTATCTTGTAAGTTTATAGCGGGGCTCCCGCGCGCGCGAAGCGCGCGTGGGACAGAGCCCCATACTCATGGAATATGGTCAACCTCTTTTCGTTTGGTTGTCACGTGATTGACCGAGCGTACGTACGTACGTACGTACATACGTACGTACGCGTCTACAGATTGTACGGGTGGGGTAGGGGAGACTATCACAAGGAAGGGAGGGGTGTCTCAGGCGTGTCTTGGCAAGTCCACATCTTTAATATAGGATTTTAGTATAGGACATTCACAATATGGTCAATTGACAGCTGTCAAAACAGGATAGCCACTGACCAGTATCCCATGACCATATCGCGGGCTCATGTGTCAACTCATCGAGGTGACGTGATTTATTTGGAAGCTGTCCGCTGACCAGTTAATTGTTTTACTAGATCGCGAACAATGTTCAATCTCATACTAGTTAAACTGATAATGCCCACATATTGGACATCAATGTTTTGATCAATTGACAGCTGTCAAAACAGGGTACCCGCTGACCAGTATCACTTGACCGTATCGCGGGCTCAGGTGTCGACCCATCGAGGTCAAGGATTTTTTTGAAGCTATCCGCTGACAAGTTACTTGTTTTAAAGTGATCGCAGGCTCAAGTTCAATTTTTTTCTAAATTCATATGAAATATGTTGTGTTTATGTGCTACACAATTAAAATTTTGATTGCAAACTGACCTCGGACGCGAAAATTCAGCTAGCTGTTACAGGCAGGGAAGACAGTTGGTTTTGACTTTTCTCACCATGGTCACGCGTTGGTCACGCTCTACGTCCAATTTTTATGCTCTGATTGGTCAAAATTTGACAGGTGAGTTCATGCGCAAAATTTATGCAGCATCTTGAATCTTGTTTACTTTGACAGCTGAAGCTGACAGAGTTTTGTGTCAACTTGTGATGTTTTTAACTGTCTTTTTCCACTGGATGTGCAAAATGAAATTCAGCTGCTATCAGGAGTCTTCTGTTATTCATGGCTAGTTTGTTTATTGGTTTTTTGGTTGAGGAATACGTCGCTTGTCAAAGTCGGAAATCCGATTTCGGATGGCATCGTTTTCGTTTTCACCTTGCTTGATGCGTAAGAGGATTGCACAGTCTGAAGCGATACTGGCTTTTCTTGATAACTTTCAGGAGCTGCATCTCGAATGGTAAGCCAGAGAAATTATTGTATTTGATGTTTGTTTTTTGTATCTAATTTAATGAAGTCGAGCGTAGTTTATGCGGGCATTTAGTTTATGCACGTTTGTAAGATTTGAGACAATGATCTGACCGAGTATCAGGTTTGATATAAGCTTACAGAACTTTAAAAAGCCTTTAGACAATTTCTCACCGCAAATAGAAAGAAAACGTTCCAAAGAATATTTAGTTATAATTCTGGCCGGAAAAGAAAGCTTTGAGCGATTTTCTTGCCTCGAGTTCGTCTTTGAAAAAAGCAAACACCGGGACGCCGGCTTAAAACATAAACTTAAGCTTGAAGCTTGAAGACTCAGGATTTTTAGGGACACTTTAATACTTGTCTTCCTGAATGAAAATTGTTGTCTCTGTATATGTTTCACCGAATTATATTTCTTTTACTGATTTTTAGTAGTCTCTCTTGTAATTTTAATCGCTGTTCCGATTGTTTTCAGTCGTTCAGTGAACATCGCTTGCCGGAGTTATTTAACTCAAAATGCCGCGCGTAACTCTGTTAATGTTCATTCAAACACTAGCCACAGCTCGCACTACAAAAGTGAGAACCGGATGGCCGTATAGGTGATTTTGGAAATTTTTTTAACAGTTTATGAATATTGAATGAGTGCAATTTGTATTGTGAAATACTGCTTTCTGTCCGAGGTCTGCCGGTATGATAAAAACAGTGCCTCATACTACTGTTTCACCTCAGATGTGATGTATGAAAGGTATAAGAGGTTGGTTTACACGCACCCAGATTTGTTGACAAGATTTTGCAAAGTAAACTTGTCGAACGCAAAAAAGTTGGCCTGATTTTTTTTCCACTAATTAATCTACGGTGATCAAGAGCCATTATGGCTCTTAAATGTGATCGAAGATGATTACCAGTTTTTAAGTGTACATATGAGGCTATCAACTCGATGTAAGATTTGGTTCACTCTTGGGCTGTTTGCAAATTATTTTTCTCTAAAATCAGGTAGCCTTTCCCTCAAAAGTCACATAAATGTGCTCTAAAGTTAACTGAATTGTGGAATTCAAATACAAGTTTATTGTTTAATTTAAATTATAAATTTATTAATGGGAGCCTCGCTTTTAGCCCTGGCTAAATCTATATATTATTATGTAAGTAAGTAGTATTTAACTTAGCAAGTTATATGTAAGTAGGTATTAAAGCTTTATGTAAGTAAGTACTATGTAAGTAAGTCAGCATTATGTTTGTTAAAACAAATAAAAATAAAAAAAAAAATAAAAAACTAAAGCGTGCTTAACAGCCGCAAGAGAGAATGAGCTACAATCCTGGCCAAATGGTTCTGGGACACCTCCCCTTTTCACGTGTTTTGTATGGAATTTGCAGCTAACCTGCAATACACACCCAGGTGTTTGACTTGTAACACCCTACACTGTCCAGCGGGGACGAGGGTCAACTTGAATTGTATTTTCCTCACGATTGTAGCTCCTTCTGACTTGACAGGCGTTATTGGGGGCGATCAGGCGAGATTTGGTTTGCGAAAACGAAGCGCGAGACAAAGAGAGGAGAGAAAGATTTTCTCTTTCCGTCGTCTCGCGTGTCTCGCACGTGTTCCGAAACCTCCTGAGCGCCCCCAATAACGCGTGTTATACTGTTTAATATCAGCCCAACAGGGGAAGCCATGGGTAGGAGGGGTGTAACGATATCGGTTCGCCCCTGTTGTCCTGTAATCGGCGTCGGACACTCATAGTCAGTTAGATCTCTCAGCAACTTCCATTCAGTGCATAATTAGGAACAGATATTTTTCTCTAACGCCTATAATAACTTAGCTATTATTCTTTTAGCCTTTTGCTTGCTTTCCTTTTCTAGCCCATACTGTACTCATCTGTTTATCTACTGTTTTTCTGGACTATTCACAGGGGGTTCACAGTTCCCTATTTTTCCCGTAAGACCGTCCACATTAAGCGCTTTCGCTTTGCGGGCGGCCATCTTGGATGCAATAAGTGTCAAATCCACTTAGGGGGTGTGGCACGGTAAAGATGGCCGTCCGTACCGGTAAGCGCTCGATCCTGACAATCTTACGAAAAAACAGGAGACTGAACAGTCTACTGTGTTTCTGACCCGTGTATAAAGGTTTGCTACTTAGGACTCCAGTCATTTTGTTGTAAGGTCTCCGTATACTAGTCAGAGATTAAGTTTTCAAATGCTACACGGTCGAACCTCTGCTAACGACCACCTCTCTCAGGGGCGGATCCAGGAGTTTCTTTAGGAGGGGGTGCACTCGTCTCTTGCTCTACTTCAACACCAATAAACCACATAGTTTTTTTTGGCAGAATACCAGTTGTATTAGAAAAACCGCAGGTCATCTCAGTGGGGGGGGGGGTGCACCCCCTGCACCCTCTCCCTAGATCCCCCCCTGTCTCTACAACGGCCACTTTTAAACCTCTCTACAACGGCAACCGTCACTAAAGCGTGTCCCAAACTGCCAAAATAACCTCTCGACATGGGCCTTCTTTTTCAGCGACTGATGAAAAAGTCAAGAATGGTCATGAAATTTGATCCGTAAAGCGCGTTGATGATTAATCAAAACAATCGTATTTTGATTGTGTTCCATTTGTACTGCAAGAGTAAGCGTAAATTATCTGCGATACTTGTTCATTTTGTCACGTTGACATTTTGATTAAAAATATTATTCAAGATTTTTGCGTTTTTTAATATCTCTATATATTCTTAATTAGTACTGGATTAACATTACGGGATACAGTAAGCATGAACGTAGCACAATAAACATGTTGCATTCCCTAAAAAGAATTAGTTATTTTTCACCTCTACCTTCCCATAACGGCCACTTTCTTCTACTCCCAAGGTGGCCGTTGTAGAGCGGTTCGACTGTATTATTTGTTGTCCATAACTGTAAAGGGTGTATTGTTAATGGCATGTTAATTTGACGAGATAAAAACGCGTCGAACACCGAGCGCATCGAAAAATGTTTAAAAACCTTAAAATATTTTGTTTGTTCCTTTCAAATTTAAAAATTAAAGTAGATATATATAAAAATCTATATTGTATAATAAACCTTCATTGGCAAGTTAATGTATTCCTATAATCAGGTGCTCCTAAAAAACAATTCGACATATTAAAATTCATACTTTGGCTGCGAGGCTTGTGGAAAAAACAAAAGAAATCATTTTGAGGCTCAGTAATGTACAATAACGGAGCTCCACGAGCGAACGGAGCCCCATACCTAAAAAAATTTGGTAATCTGTCCGTCCGCGAAATTTTGTAACCACGTGACCGTACGCCTTCCCGTCCGTTCGCACCACAGGGAAACCAGTGTGAAATGTCAAACTTTCTAGCTAGTGCGGAGCCGACTGTGGAGCCAGTAACCCGAGCTTAACTTGATGATAGACATCCATATCATGGTCAATTGACAGATGTCAAAACAAGGTATCCGCTGACCAGAGTCACATGACCATAACACGGACTCAGGTGCCAACTCGTTGAGGTCAATGTGTATTTCAAGTTTTTCGCTGACCAGTTGTTAGCTTTTAATGATCGCAGGCTCAAGTTTATGTTTTTCAGTCATATGGTTCTCCTCTAAAGTTAAGTATAGATTTGCGGATTTTTTGCAATGGTTTGAAGTCTATCGTCTCAAGTAAATCTAAAATGCATAAACTGGAGCTTCGCTTTTAGCTCTGGCTAAATCTATATATTACATTTCTTTTGTTTCATTTCCTCAAGCCTCATAATACATCGATATTGGTATTTTAGGATAAGACGAAGTTAAGTAAAAGAGGAGGCAAGGGTAACGAAGTGGCGAGAGCAACTCGCCTGCCACCAGTATAACCCGGGTTCGAATCCCTGGTGACGCAAAGTTGAGATTGTTGGCAGTTCTCGCCTTTGCTCTGAGAGTTTTTTTGACAGGTACCTCGGTTTCCTTCTCTCCTCAAAAAACCAAGATATCTGAATTCCAATTTGATCCGGATTGGTGGTCGAAACACCACTTACCAGATGCGCTCTTGTTTAGCCTTATTTCTTTATCATTCATTATTTATAGGAAGGGCCTTTGGTCTTCAGTCAATTTATTTCTCGATTCCAAGATTCACTGCGAAGGTTCCTCTACTTTTACAATAAGCCCTTCCCAGTCCACGCTCACATCGTAGAAAGTGATCTCAGCCGAGGGCTAAGAAAACAAAAGTGAAAAGGGGAGTGATTAATTATTAGGAAGCCACCTATATTAAACGGTACTACACCCTATCCTATCCTAGGCTCTTGGCCCGTGCCCAAAGCCAAAGCTGTAGTAATCACGCTAGTTGTCATGGTTACATAGTGAACGGGACAGAGGCCTGGTGATTTAGGGGCCTGAAAGTGCATGCTACAGTGGAAAACTAATAAAACTTGAGAGAAAATGATAGGGCAGGAACATAAACTGGAAGACTAACTAAATAAAATCACCAAAGAGAGAGTAAACGTCTCTTACCACTTCTGCCTATAACTGTTTTAAGGGCACTAAAAAAGGAGCCCCCCATTCTTTACTAGCACCCCCTACGAATAAAGCACGCGCGTGACGTAGAGGGCGTTTCGGACAATCGCAGCGGGCGTGATGTTGTACCAAAACATTTTACTTGTACAAGAGAGTATACTTTAGAGAACACTGTAAAATCATGCAATCAGATCTTTTTCCGGGTAATCAGAAAAAAAAGGATCTTATCTGACAAACGAAATGTCACCTGTTTTTCCTTGATCAATTCTTTGACTTTCTCCACCATGTTGGGTTCTTTGGTGACAACAAAAATGAATCCACCCCCTCCAGCTCCGGCCATCGCTTGACCTGAAAGTTATAAATTTTAACCCCTGATGTAAGCACTCGCCTTCACCAACTCTTTAATTAAAGAAAAGCAAACTCGCCAACTATCCCCAATCAGTTTTTTGGATTTTGCTGTAAAAGGGACAACGTTTCACTCTAATGCTGGGTTTGTAGGAAAATACCGGCCTCAAAAACGACGTCCGAAGCCCCTGCCCAATGATGATAGATCAACAAATTAAAAGCCAACAAAATATATGTTAGACGACTTTTTTTGTATTAAAACGACCTTTTCGAACATGTCTTTCAAAAATGACATCTTCTTTACGGGCCTGTTTATTTCATCAATTCACCTGAACATTCCTTGTTGCCTTTTCAAATGACGCGCTCAGTTTTTTCCATCATATCCTTGTACGAGCATCATTTATAGGAACAGGGGCCATTCAATGTAATATCCATCCTCTCCGCTTTGGATGAAATTTTCCGAGGGGTATTTGAAAGTTATTTTCGGTGGGGGGAGGAGTCGGCAACCTTTCATCGTTAAAAAAATTGTCTAAGGGGTATGAGAAAAACTGAAAAAACTGGGTTATTTCTGAAGGGGGATTGTGTGGGTACTTATGGTCTTTTTTGCTTAGGGGAATAAGAGTCAACTTGTCTCATCCAAGGGGGGGAGGAGGGGGATAAGGCTATTAAATGGAATGGCCTGCGGTCAATCCCATACGGAGACAAACGGTGGAAGACATACCGTAGCTCAAGGGCTTCAACGCTTCCATTAAGTCCTTTATCCCCTCCGGCTCCGATCCTGTTGGCAGACAGAGCATTCGAATGTATAACTCAAAGATAATTAATAACGGTGAATCCATACAAAGAAATGGCGGCAGCGCTACATTTGGATCGGTTCACACTCCTCCCTGGAGTCTTCGGTATTCTTGTCCAGCGGAACAGGTAATGAACGTTCTGGTCCGTTCTGGACCAATTCAGAATCGCAACCAGAAATTCTGAGTTCCGTTTTTATTGCGCCTGCGTAGAATTAACAAAGGCACGTGTGGCTTCGATGCTACAGTGTTGGTCTGCAAAGGGGAAACTTTTGACCGGCTACGGCAAAACCCCTATTTATCCGCATTCACCGCAAGATTGGAATTTTTTTCTCTCAAGCGATGACCAGTAGAAACGCAGCCTCTAAAAACGGAATTGCGTCTTGTACGGTAACGTAAACCTGAGATCAGGCGCCTTTTTTCTCGGGGGAGCGCGAAAGTCGGCAGGGAAGAAGGACCACCTGATCGCAGGTTACAGTAGAACAACAATGAGCGACAGCGAAACGCTGGTAAGCGCAATGCGCATCACACTCACCCGGTGCCATCAGGCTCTTTTGATGTCGATAACAAGTCCAGCATTCACCAACCTTTTTGATGTTTCCTGAAATGCAGATAATGCCATTTAAAATCCTAACGTCTAAACATCTTAATAAACGCTTTGAGTGAGTAGTTCTTACTTAATGTTGTTTATTCACCATTTTCGCACAGACCGTGGTGATAATACACCTTGCTTACCGCTCAAAATTTTGCATAACCGTTGTCCTCGATTTCTCTTGGGACGACTGTGATACCCAGGGGAAACTGGAAACAATTATTATGCAAAACTTTGGGTGGCAAACAAGGTGCATTATGGTCTAAGTGAAAATGGTGAATTTGCCATTTTTTAAGTTGCGCGTGAGACTGGGTCCGTGTTGAACCCAATTGCACTATGCGAATGTTTTGGGGACGCTACCACTTCTTTGATTGGCTTTTGCGAGGTTGCGCAGGAAACTGGGTCAAAACAGTCCCACGATGCAATTCGAAATTACACTGAACCAGTCTAGCGCACACCTCAAAATAGCCAATAAAGCTACAATACTCTTCAAAAATCTTGAAGCACTTGTGTCCGTTTCCCCTTCCCCAATGTTGATTTGGGGATTACGGTGGTCTCAGTGCTTCAAAATACGCATGGCTCAACACTGGGGAGGGAGAAGGCACATTTCACAACAGTGTGAGGAGTAAATCTCAGGATTTTTCCAGACGAGTATTGTAGGCAATGTAACTATTGACGCTGTGCAGTGTAAAAAATTCAAATCCAAGCATCTGAAGGGTAATCTGAGAAATCACATACCGAACGTCGGGTTAAACAAGAAGTTCTTTATCGTCGAAGAAGCACCACTGACCTTGATACACAACTCACCTTCTATCAGCGCCTTAGCAGCCTCTTCTGCGTTGTCTATCAAGTTCCTTGCGTTGTTGGTGATTTGTGGAAACCTTGCATACCAATTCCTGACGACATTCTGCTCGATAAATAATAAGGCACCGTCAGATTTAACTAAAACACACCCTTTCCCATCACCCCCCACCCACTTACTCACTTCATCACCACACCCTACCACTCTCTAAACTTCCACGCCACTAACGCCTGTCAAGCCCTCCCGTATATCGCCCCTCCCATGCATGTCTTATGCTTTCAAGCCCCTTGGGCTTCACAGTTATTTTGAAGGGAAAGAGAACACTGCGTGTGCGCGGGCCGGTGAGGAACCTGTGAACTCTCCAATTTACCTGTAGCAAATTCTTAGCGAGCCTTGTTCTTCCAGAGTAAAAGCAGACCAGCCGGTTGCACAGATCCTCAACGGTCTTATCACTGAGCTCCAGTTTTTCAGCTTCCACTTTCAGCGGCAAACGAGCCTGGGACCTAGAGATCTTGAAACCAGGTACCAGTCCTCCCACATTGTCCTGCCAGCCTCCGCCAGTGGTAAGCATCTGTTCAACGATCATCACCGCGTGGACAAGCGAATCCAAGCTCGCTGTGCGGTCTGTTACCCGTAGCAAGGCAGCTAAAATAACTCCCGCTAAAATGCTACTCGTTCCCAAGCCACTTCCTTGAGGAGCCGTTGACCACGTGTGAAGTTCAAAACCTCGTTCCCAAGCCACGAAAGATCCACAATGTCGAGGAAACAGGCCGTTGACCACAAAAATCCATACCGTGTTCAAGGCTTAACAGGGTTCAAAACCTTGCCATTCGGGCAAGCTGAAGGCCTAGACGTCATCTTTTTTTGACGAGTAGAATTGGTTTCTCAGTTGGTCTGTTAAAGTTTCTTTCGACGAAAGATCCACAATGTCGAGTAAACAGAAACAGGCTTTAAGCAGTGCCCCTGAGAGAAAACAACAAAAAATCCATACCGTGTTCAAGGCTTAACAGGGTGCAAAGAAAATCATTTTACAGCTTGCCATTCGGGCAAGCTGAAGCTAGCATTCACTAGCCTAGACGTCATCTCAACTAGCCCAAAATGCTTTTTGACGAGTAGAACTGATTGCAAAGTTCTTCTGTTATTCGAATTCCTTAAAAAATATGACTTGCCCATCGGGCAAGTTAAAAACAGAATTCACTAGCCCGATAGCAAAATCCACTAGCCGCGGGCTATCAGACACTACTTTCTTTGCACGCTGCTTAATAGCCCATTTTTCAGTTACAGATGAAAGCGAGGTTGGAGTTGACCTTGTTTTGATACAATCCTTCCTGCTTTATTGAGTACATTATGTTATCATTAAGCCAACTAGCATTTTTAAGCACAATTTCCAAAAGAAAAGGGGAAAGGTTTGTATTAAAACAAGGTCAACCTCAGCCTCGCGTTCAATTAAAGGCTAGGATACTAAGCCCACAACTGTAAAATGGTCTTTTATCTATCAGTTACACTAGCTCTTGGAAAGAGCACTTAACTTTAACTTTAACAGTATAGCGTAAACAGAAATCATCACCACAATGCTTTAAAAAAAAGAAGGAAAGGCTATAGATGGAGTTTAACTAGATTTAGCCCATAAACAATGATTCTTCCTCTACACTGTGAACTTAGATACCATATGGTTCTCGATAAGTCGACTTCTTTGCCTGGCAAAGAATCCCAAAAAAGGGAGTTTAAAAAAGTCTACTTTCCGTAATTAAACATAACCGTGACTCGACTAACCCTTTTGTACAAAACGAGTCGTAGGCAAATTGGTATTGATGTTAATACCTATCTACAATTCCTTTCTGAATTTAGAATCGGTTGTAGATATAGGCAAGTTAAGACAACGAAGAATATTTACTTTAATTCCTTCTTTCCACGGAACATAAGACTATGGAATCGGTTACCCGAGGAAAACGTTGAGTCAAATTTCTCAGGAATATTTGAATCTAAGTTACTCAGCTTTTTAGCTGAGAAATAGTAATTTTTAATAAGATATAACATTGACTTATTTCTATATATGTAGATATATGTTTTTATTATATAGACGCGAGTGTTTTACTGGAAAATATACCAAAAAATTCAGGGACCCGAGTATTTTCCATAATAAGATATAACATTGACTTATTTTTTATATATTTTTGTCTATATAGATATATGTTTTTTCTCGTGGCAAAAACTATTTTTAAAATATCGTTTTGTCAATATTAACTTTGACTTATTGATTTCTTTTAAATTAACTTTGACTTATTGATTTCTGTTATTAACTACTTCGAGTATTGTACAAATTGATGACTGTTCCTTTGAAACATTTTACCATAGAAATAAATCACTCAGATGTAGATGTGTATGAGCCAAATCTTACCTGGAGCGTTCGGTTGAGTGTAATTTTCTAAGTGTTTTAGTTCACTGCACACAACCCTAACACTATGGTCCTCTGCATGGATTACGAGGGCAATTTCTAGCCTAAAAAATAAGGATGTATGTCAGGCAATCACTTTTCATTTACGCATCACATCACCTAATACTTGCGGCGATCAAAGGAGCCCGCAAGTTTATATACAGTTATTTCGAGAAAGGTTGTCGGAAAAAGTGCACGCGAAAAGGTATTGTGGGTGGTTTTGAGTTCACTTTTCTTCAAAGAAATTTGAAAGAATGGCACTTGAGGCCATGGACATATGTTTGCGAGTGCTAAAGGAAAGCACCACAAATAAATTCGGCAGCTACAATCGTCAGGAACAGTGTATTGATCATATCTCATGTTACCTTTCGGGATTGTCGCGTGCACATTTTTTCCGACAACCTTTCTCGAAATAGCTGCATACGAAAATCGAGCCCTTTGCGTCAGGGGCAGCCATGTTGGTTTCACATGTACCGAGAGGGCGGGCGTCAATCATCCAAGATGGCCGTCCGTAACGCAAAGCGCTCGATCTCGTTGATCTTACGGGAAAATGGAGGACTGTTTGCAGTCAACGCGGAATGATATCATGCCAGGAGGCTAGACTGCCAAGCATCATCCAAAAGGGCGGTTTACAATACTCACGCGAACTTTGACAATCTCTGGATGAGACGGCCTAAGAAGGCTTAACGAACGGTTAGCTAACTAAAGACTTTGTCATTTTATATTTGTGATAGGCAAACAACGCCCATTCCGAAGAGACCTCGTCCTTTTAGTTGCTCAGTGCGGTTGGGTAATAAAATTTTAATATGCAATCTTAATGTTATAATACCCAGGCGCCATTTGTCAGAAGATCGATAGCGCTATCCACCGGAAAAATCTCTGTCCAGTGGATTTCGCAGTTGGTTTCCCTAATAAGATACTTATGGTGATTTATCCAGTGGAAAGCGCTATCCAACTTTTAAACGAAGCTAGAAATACAATGGTTACTTACTCCTTTATTTTCCTAACCCGAGCTTTTGTGACTTTCTACAATAAAGGAAAGAAACATTGAAAAGTGCTCGCAACCATACTTACTAGAGACCTTAAAGTCGAGGTTTGGTCATTTCACTGTAAACGACAAACTGCGGTTTGCGGTTAACAGTTTCACGTTACCCGTCTGCCCATATTTGGGACTTAAGATTCGCGGGTGGTAGCTCGCGGCCGCCATGTTTGTTTTCATTCATCCACTTAATTCTATTTTAGATGAGAAATTGTCTTCAAAATTACGTTCTTTGAAATAGAATTCGATAATCAATAAGCAACTAGCGCAACTTGCAGGAGACACTGTTTGATGTAACAAACCCTTCGTCATATCAAAGCAACGTAGCAGAGTGGGCCGTTAACAGAAACGTTACGTAAGGGATAACAACCTTTTCAGCACTAAAATTAAGACAAATATTTCTGACACTGTTCTCCAAGTATTTTTAATAGTATCAATATTGAAAATTTGCTTGGAAGAAGGTACCATTTGTCTATGGTGAACATTTCTGTTATTCTCATGAGAAGTTTGATTACCTAGACTATGGCCAGTGTTACATGCGACTCACTGTTTGGATACAGAGGATGAGCAACAGTGCCAATCTCGTTCCCAGAGTCTGAGTTACCCTTGTCCCCGTTGCCCGTTCCGCTGGACAATAGGGGCTTAAGCAAGGACGTTTTTGAGGGACGCACGTCAACCGGAAATGGCCTTTTTACTTTGATGGTTTTACCCAAATTTTCAGTCAAATCGTCTCTATAAGAGTAAAAAAGCTAAGCAATACAAATTTTATATCGTCAAGGCTGGTGAAGAGGGAAAAGGTCTTACTTCCGGTTGACGTGCGTCGCTCAAAAACGTCTTTGCTTAAGCTCTCTAATTGCAAGGGTAACGCGGACTCTGGGAATGAGATTGCAGGAGTGACATCAGTGACAGCTAGAACGAGAGAACTACAGCACAAGGCCGAGTTGCACTGGGAAGGTGAATACAATTAATGGTAGGGACTAGTTTCCACAGCTCAAAAGGAGTTGGCAGTGCCCAGCGGTTTTAGTGAAAACAAGGTTTGGGTTGGGGTGCTTAGTCTCGCGGGCTCACAGACTTCCTTTTGAGCTATGGAATCTAGCCATTTCCACAATAGACCTTTTTGCCGATACGGCGGCCATATTGAATTAATTCGATTTAAGGAGTATTATAGGATGCCCAGGGGGCATGAGCACATTTCGTTTGTATTTTTGAGGGCTTTTCGGGACATTTTTTCGTAAAGTTTTCTTACAATAAGATTGTAATGGAAAAAAAGATCCTTGTGCCGTGTTTGGATGTAATAATGATCGCCTTTTTCCCGAGAAATATACAGTGAAAGACCATATTTCTAATACTAAACTAGAAAAGGACGATCATTATTACATCCAAACACGGCACAAGAATCTTTTTTCCCATTACAATCTTATTCTAAGAAAACTTAAAGAAAACATGTCCCGAAAAGCGCCCGAAAATACAAACAAAATGTGCTCATGCCCCCTGGGCATCCTATAATACTCCTTAAATCGAATTAATTCAATATGGCCGCCGTATCGGTAAAAAGGTCCATTAATAGGGAGATTGAGAGTCACGCTTAGGGCGAACGGCATGCACAAATTTGCACCACGTGACCAAGATTCCCTTAATTTGAGCTTTACTGTACATTACTTCTACCCCGCGTTAGTTTGCTCTGCAACAATTGTTTTGGGTTGCTTTTAGCTGCAAGTTTTCTATTTTGAGACATTCTTAACCTGAACCCGACGTTTGCCGTTTGCCGCCGTAAACGTTCAATCTAAATCTCTCTAATATAACATTCAAATCACATGAGTGAATTCAATTCTTAGGGAATAAAAAAACTTCTTCACCTGTCCATTGAGTTTAATTGCAACATTAAGCACTGTACCACCTTGTTCGTAGGTAATTGGAGGCGTATCACTCCACCCACCAGAAAGATCTATACGGGCTGAAAGGAAACATGGCAATTAGAACATGAAGCCAATAATGGACGAAAAGGTTTTTAAAAAAGCACTTTATTTGAATGTCAATGTCTTTAGCACGAAAGTACTAATTGGGGACACTACTTTGACCGCCATTTTACGTGGTCATCCGAGCCACGCGAAGGTCTCGCCGCTTGTAGGGCAAAGGGAGTACCTTCATTTCTTAGTTATTTTAAGACCCTGAGCAATGGTCCGGTCCCGGGAATCGAACCCGCGACCTTCCGCTCTGCAGTCACACTCTCCACCGACTGACCTAATTCTGCCGCGGTTTAGGAGGGAACCTTTTAAGTAATAGTCAATATATCACACTTGAAACAGTATTTCACCTAAAATCTAAACACCAAAAAGTGGGCTTAGGAAAACAAGGCGCGGACTTCGAGGTAAGTGTGGCTCCTATAAAATAAACGATCAGTGGTTCTTGAAGACATTCAATCTTTACGCGCTTTATTCCAAATGTGTGATTTTGCCTACCTAATTTACAACCTATTACCTGAATTATTCCTCCTTTTAAAAACTAGTAAAAAGTAGAGATATACCCTCATCAAAAAAATGGCCAAAACACAATTCCTTCCTTTGCCCACAAATCCATATGGTGTCCCTCTACAAAAATCTCCCCTCCACCATCCCCTCCTCGCCCTCGCACTTAACACCCCGAACGCAAGAATTCCGCCCTTTCCCTCTCCTCAGACAACCGCTGGGTTCTCTTCGCTTACCGATGTTTTTCCTATTTGACCCCGTTTTTTGCCTTTTTCCACCACTGCGGAGCCTGTTCCCAGGCTAGAATTCCAAGATAGTTTTATCCAGCTTTTTGAAGCATTGCGTAAATGTAGACATAAATAGAACAACTCTCCCAAAGGAGCTTCTCGCTTCTTTCCACGAGGTGTCGTGTCGTGTCTCTCTGACGTCATTTGTCAAGACGTGACATGCGTGATGCAATACGAACTGACGTGACATGATCTCGGTAACGTGAACACCACATGAAATGGAAAAAAGCACTATAACAAGAGAACGTTGGCTTACCTGGCGCCTCTGCTGTCACCCAATGGCCCATAGGAGTTGGTTCACACGGCTCAGTGTGGAAAAACTAACAGAATGCAACCACAGAATCAGTGAGTTGATATAACGTATCCAAAAGACGTCACGAAAAGACTGTCAAGAAAGACATTTTGGGCCGGAAGTACCAGTAGTAGTTCTAAAGAAGCTTCATTCTAAATGAGCTCACAATCTTTTAAACGAGTGTTAAATGCGCTTTCAGTAGGCTGTAAAGTTTGTTCACTGTAGGATTAAGGACCACCGAACTGATTAAGCTGTCTGCTCCAAACCAACCTCAGAGGGAGAGCTCGGTCATTGGTCTCTTTGAGTACAGGCAGGTAACGGACCGGAAACATAATTTCCACCTGTCCACTCCACGCCCCCATTTAGTCGCTTCAGTTACAGACCAAGAAGCGAATTTTAACCCCTCCCCTCTTCTTAACTTAGTGGCTAAAGTCATAGACTGAGAAGCATAATTTTAATTCCTTCCCCTAGCCCCAACTTAATTGCTTCGGTTACAGACTAAGAAGTATAATTCCCACATCTCCCCTCTTAGTGGCTTAAGTTATGGACTGAGAAGCATAATTTCGACCCCCTTCCCCTTCCCCCAACTTAGTGGCCTCAGTTCAGACTAGGAAACATAGTTTCCATCCCTTCCGCTAAAACTTAGTCATGGTGGCTTAACCCCTAACCCATCTTTCTGCTTTCTTGATCCCCTTGATCCAGCAGATGCCAAATTAAAGTCACAGCGAGCTAACAATCATTGTGGTGACGGTGCCCGTTAAAGCAAGGTTTGTATCACCCATGTAGAGTAACACACCTCTGAAGCAGTGAGTACTGCCTTCCGTCTTAGGACCTGCTCTGCTCCTTCATAATGTCGCGCTGCACGAATCAGCAGATCTGGTCTATGAAGGAAAAATCATAAGCTTAACAACTAGCCACTAAATTATGAGGTCACGGATTTTTTTATTACTCTTGCCAATCATCTTATCACCACACAAAGTAACCAATTTGTATTTTGGACAGCGCGCAGTGGGAGAGGCGATTGTTGCGAAAGCGAGAGGGGGACAGAAAGGCTAACACCAGTAGAGAGGCCCAGACGTATGGAGCATATCCCAGTAAGAGTAGCAAGAGCCACCAGGAAGTAGAGAAGGGGTCTTCTCCGCCAATACTTTACCGGTATTTATTTAACCACTTGAAATGAAGATGAATTGAATTTGCGCTACGGCTCAGCATACAAGCGGGACGTCTTAACTTCACGTCTACAACTTCAACGTCCTAATGCATGAAAGATTGTTTTTTATACCTGTCAAGCCATTTGGATCGCTCTGAGGCAAGGGCTTTCACTCCTGCTGCTATTTCTCCTCTCTAAAAATATAAGAGAAGCCGCACAGAACATTAAAACCTTTCGTTGATAAACTGGCGTTTCAAATGTGTCCAGGGTATTAAAAGACCGCGCATGAAAATTGAGGTACAGCATTTGGTAATTTGGTAAACTACAGCTTCAATTATGTGCAACACACTTTTTTTGAGCCTGAAAAGGGGGAAAAGAGGATAATTTTTAGCCTCAGTTTGTAAGATTTCAATCAAATTCTACCCCTACCAGTTTGCAAACCGCAAACATTGACAACTTCAGTGGAGATATGTACTGCCTAGAATGATTGGTTATAAAATAGAGAGGAGACGTCGTTACGTCACGTTGCCATGGTAGCAAAGTTTCTGGGTCTCAACAAAACGTGACCCTGCAAATAAGGCAGAAAAAAATTAAACATTGACATGCACGACTTTCCCGTGCACAACTGCACCCAGGAACAAAACGACAGCCCATACGTTTCGTTCATCGTTCGACAATGCAAATGGTCGTGTCTGTCAAGAAAGATTGATGAGATCCAGAATTTTGCTACTATGGTAAGATGACGTCACAGGTCTCCTCTCCCTTGCATTATGATCTTAAGATTGCTATTTACAAACTTGGTATCTTGGCCTTTCAAAGCGGGACTAAAGCGTGGTAAAAAATAGTAGCCATTTGAAATATAACGTGAGACTGGTGTCGGTGACTCGGTGTTGTGTCGAAATGTATTGTGGGACTGTTTCAAGGGATGGCGCTTCACTCAGTTTCCCGCCCAATTTCGCCTAGATTTGGCCAGTGGACTGAACGATAGCGTCCTCCAAAAACAGTGTAAGCGTTCATTGAAGAGTGGACCTTTGTACAGAGCTAACGCTTTAAGGTTTATGGACATACATCAAGGAGTTCAAAGGCATGCATCCAGGATTCATTGCGGGCTGGACCACTTCTCAGCCCAGCTCTCTCTCCTGCCATAGCACCTAACACGTCAGCAATACACGCCAGAGTCCGAGCGGCCACACCTGGAGAACTTGTACTGCATGCAACTGGGGAAGGCAAACAAAGAAATTAGCAAACGTGTTCACATTAAATTCAAGGGGATTATTATTTTTCCTAGAGACGTAAAGGTCGCTGCAATAACAATAATTGCAATTGACTCAGATGATGATAAAAAATAATAATAATGATAATAATAATAATAATAATAATAATAATAATAATAATAATAATAATAATAATAATATCATGCTAGCGCCATGCAACCCTGATTGGGATACAATAAACAAGTGTTAATGCTGCACCAATATTGCCATGGAAGAGACCACCCGTTGCAATCTTCTCTGTACCTTTTTTTTGGAAATCCTAGAGGCTTCTAGGGACGCTGGCAAGTGAACGGCAATTGTTTGTTACCTACATGCAGCGAGAGAAGACCCACAGCTATTTTGACTTGTTGGCAAGTGATGGCAAGTTAACTACTTGCGATGTTGGGATCCACGACTCGGTGACAAAGCATCTGAACAGTAACGGCAAACTCCTGGCCACGTGTCCTGTCGACGCCTTTCAGGCCTACACATCGATCTATTCTCGATCGATCAAATTATGAACGAATCACTACAAAAACTTAAAGGCTGATACTTTAGAAACGTTTAGTGGTCAAATGCATACCGTCTGCCACATTTAGATCCGAAAGAGACGTTTTAGATTCGAAACACAGATTTTGTTTAAAAAAAAAAAAAGAAAAGAAAAGAAAAAAACAACACTTTCATTACCTTGATCTAAAACCTCCAATATCTGCGAGTCAAATCCCTCTTTTGCACAGCTCTTAAAGAAGGGCAGAATACAGTTACTGCTACAACTCGTCAACGTGTTAACAACTTCAGTTTTTCCAATTTCAAACCAAAGCTTCTTCTTCCAGCAAAACTCTGCATTGGTATCAATAGTCCTCATGATGTCTTCTAGGGAGAGCCTCAGTGAAGAACGCCACCTAAAACATGAATTATTTCAATTCAGGTTCAACGACTGAAAGAAATGCGATACCACCTTTATATACTTCAAGTAAGATAGAAAGAAGTGTGACGTCACGTTACCATACCAGTAAAATTTCTGCACGTCTGAAGTCCGACGCTTTGAGAAAATAAAAGAGGACACAAGAGGAAACTTAAGAAAGAGTGACAAGCTGCAAAGTGTAGGGGGCAGAAAGAGCAAAAATTTCACTCTTGGACTAAGCCAAAAATTAATTACTAATGGACAAAACTGACCTGTTGATCTTCTGCTGATCAGTTACTTCTGATACTCCGGTGTAGGCCAACCACAAGATATCATCTTTCCCAGCATCTTCATTCAACACGTCGAAAGGGTGAACAACAGGAAACATCTTTGCATTGTAAAGAGATCTGTGCTGTTCAGGCTGAAAATGCGGAAGGTTATTGTTTTGTTTTTTCCCCAAGGTTTTTCCCCTAAAGGTAAATGGAAAGCCCTGGGACCGAGGTTGTTTTCGTGAAACAAAGGAGTGCGTCAAGTGTGGTATGATGGGATACGAGGGAGGCGCTCATAAACAGAGGGACTCATTTTTCAAATACTAACATGGGTAAACAAATGGTGACAAAATCTGTCATTTCGGGTTAGCCCAACAGGGCTAAGAGACGCATTTTTTGGCTTTGCAAAAGATCAGGAAAACTTTGTGCCTTGGTGATTTATTCATATTTTTAAAGGATAATGCATTTACAGCAGGTAAAAGGAATGTGGTGTTCCAAATTAGGTATGTGAAAGGGGTACCATTAGTCAATAAAAGGTGTGCGGAAGGTGGTCGCTTTTCTGCCAAAAAATGGTACATAAAAGTGTAAGGGGTTTAACCTCGGGGCGGAGTCTCCCCGTATGAAACTTTTGTTGAGTAATCCCGGCCTGGTAGGCTGCAACGCCGTTAAAACGAATTTTTTTTAGACTCACCACTCCTATCCAAACTTCCTCTTGGTTGATTCCTGTTCTGTCGAAAAACGTTTTCCAAGGTCTGTTACAATAAGTACTAGTTGATGATGACGACAACTCCTGTTAGGGAAAAAACCGGAAGATAAAATACCCTGAAGCAATGCAAGTGTAATTTCTTTGGCCAAACAGTAGGTGAATATAATCTAATCAAGTACTCAGTTCAATATAAGTATCTGAATTGGGAGAATGTGTAGTTTATGATAACCAGAATTGCATAAATTTATAATGGTGGATTTCTTTGCAGCATTTACGTATTCTTGGTTTGCAACCACCTGACAAGGCGGCCATGTTGTGGCGTTTTTCTCGAAGAATTTAAATGAAAATAGAGTTTACTTCCCAGAGGGGAGAATGCTATTGTTCTTGACCACGGACATGGCCGCCGTGACGTCATGTGCAAACCAGCAATAGCCATTGCATTTGCGTGCTGAAAAACTGCAGCGGACAAATGCGACGGCTATACGTGTATTCTGCGAATGAATTCACTTCATGTCACAAAAACTTTTAAAAGACTTCTTTGTCATTTCGTCCGCTGCCTCACCTGTAACTGATCCCCAACACCGAAAACCACCAGGACACGCTCAGATTTGCCCTTCAGGCCTGGAAGCGATACATTGAATCCAAGGATACAGAGATCTTTAGCGAGGGTGGTTTCTCTACTGAGACCCTGTGATAAAATACACACAATTTAACTGTTATAGAAGAAAACAAGTAGCCTGCGAGCACGTTCTCCATTTAAGGGATATAGTGAGAAGTCACGCGTGAGCGACACGCGAAAGGAAGCGCGCGAGCGAGGAAATGGGGAAAAGAAAGGGGTAGCTCTCCTTTCCTTCGTCCCTCGCTCATGCGTTTTCTCTTGGCTCGCTTTGCTTCGCCCTTCGCGGCGTCACTCGCGCGTTCTCGAGTGGCTTGCTTCGCAAGACACTTGAAATGCAGAGCTTGCTCGCAGGCTAGAGAAGAAGCAGCTTCATTTACAGGAGAAGGAGTGTCCATATCCATTGTAGGGTTAACGTGAGAAGGGAAAATAAGATATTCAAGAGATAAGAAACGTTCCTACTTAATGACGCATGCAGATTTTAATTACTGTAGATCCTTATCAATGTCTCAATCATGTTATAACTGACCTTGAAATCTCGAGGAGCAATCCCCGCCAGAACGCTACCTGGACCAACGGTCACATTTCCCTATAATTCAATAGTCAAGGTTAAAGTTTTTAGGTACATAACAATTATCGTGGTGTGTAGGTAAGAACGTAGGAAGGTAGGCAAATGAGCAGGTATGCAGGTAACAGACAACTTCGAAACGAACAAATTCGTTGTTGTTGATGTTATAAGTAAGAAGTGGAAATCAGTAAGAAGGAAGGTACGTAGGTGGGACACATATGGGCAGGTTAATAGTTAGGTGGGTAGCTAGGTAGCTAGAAAGATAGATAGGTGGAGGTGGGCACAACTTTAAGTTGCTACATATGCAAGAGAGGTAGAGAGGTAAGTAAGTTGGCAGGTAGGTAGGTGGGTAGGTAGGTAGATTGTTAGGTTGGTCGGTTGGTAGGCAGGTAGACAGGTAAGCTGGTCAGTTGGTCGGTCATTTGGTCGGTCAGTAGGTAGGTAGGTTGGTCGGTTGGTCTGTAGATAGGTAGGTAGATACATGTAGATAGGTAGGTTGGTGGGTCAGTCAGTCGGCAAGTAGCGAGCTAGTTAGCTACCTGTCGTTAGGCACATGCAAAGGTGTGGCTAGGCATATACTTGGGTCCTAGTACCTGTAAATGACAGTGTGATACAACAGATTCCTTTCCAATGCTGATTCCACCTTCAACGATGGAATTCACTACAACAGAGGAGGCTTCCACGACTGCATCTTTTCTACCCTCGTCCTATTTGAAGAAATAGCGACATTTGTCTCCTAACACCATGAAAACATCTATTCATTCCCACGTATACTTTCCTTTGAAAGTCCTCAAGCAGAAAATCTTAGCTCTAAAGCTATAGGCTAATTTTTGCTGACGTCATTGGTTACATTTTTCCTCATTAACATATGACTAAATTCACAAACGCCGTGGCCGTTTATACGAACTAAATTCGAAAGCGGGGGCGGGGGGGGGGGGGGTCATCAGATACAGAATTATGGGCATATGTTAATGAGGCAAAAATGTAAACAAAGATTCGCCTTTCCATCATTCAAGTTTATGGAACTGACTGACTCTATCATCATGGCCAAAATCCCCATATCCCATATATCGAGGTTTCCGAAAAAAAAATTTTCAGCTGTGCGTATAATAAGTGCTCTAGTTCCCCTATTTAGCCCCACTGGGGGAGGGACTTATTTGTTCTTTTGACTGGGGGCTTAGCGGCAGGGCTTAGAAATATAATTTATTTCATTTATTCAATTTTGGAAATTAACAATCGACACTTCTCAGAACTTCTTGACTGCTAAAACTTTAACTTGCTACAAAGTTCAACAATTGTAAACAACGTTTAAGGGACAGACATTTGAACAAGATAAGTTTGCCAAACAATGTTGTCCATTTTGCACGCATTAAGTGAAGAAAGACTGCTCCGCTGCAAAGTACCTGGTGAAAACAAACGTGGGTGTGGTTATTGGATTCCAAAGGAAAACTGCCAAACTTTTCAGCACTGTTAAGCATTTGTCTCCTGTAGCATTCAGCTGAGGGAATCATGTAGTCAAATTCGCCATTTTCAATCACAACTGTTGAGAAAGGCATGCAAATAAAATCAGTCAGAACTTGATTTATTAAACCTTGTTTTCTGGACATATCATGTCTTTGACAAAGATGTCGGGAAACTCGTAAAACATTTATCCGCCTTCTCATCCGTAAGTCTAAAACGCAGCCGAACGAAGCAAAGAACCGCTGGATAGGAGACTACTCAATTATAATAAAGGCCTTTAGATTCTAAGAAAAGGTCGACTACATGTACGAGGACGAGATTTTCGCAATACCAAGTAGTCAGTGGGCGCGCGTGAACCAGCGTCATTTTGGCCCTTTCTGGCGGAGCCCCCCGTGTGGACCATTACAGGGAGTACCCCCGGGCCTTTCGTAGCCATCATTAAACTGACCTCCTTTCAGTGTAATTCCTCTGAGAAGCTTCCACAGAGAGGCTCTTACTGCTTTCATCAACATCATGTCCTCTGATAAGCTGCATTCTCTTCCCATCCGAGTGCTGCGTCCATACGAGCCGCTTCTTTCACCATCGACAAAGTCTGATTCAGTTATTTCCTCAGCCAGACAAAGAAGGATGTCGAAAAATAATGACAGCTAGTGAAAACGAAAAATAAAATTCGTACAACTATGGGCTCAGTGTCACGGCTTTATATTTCTTTAGCCTTTTTTAACCAGGGAATAGGCGCGAACGGGACTCACAGGTCCCATGCGAGGTGCTATCCCTACCCAATCCCGCAACCCGTAAAGGTTGGCCACAACACCGGGGTCTACGTCCCCTACTCTTTTCGAACAGTGGTGTGGGTTATTTTACGTCCCACGAGAACAGATCAGTTAAAGTGTTGGTCCGGCCTGGGTTTGAACCCGCGACCTCCCGTTCAGCAGACCGGCGCTCTACGAACTGAGCTAACCAGGCGGCGGTAAAAAAGAAATTACTCGTAAACGACAAAATAAAAGCTTTTTGTTCAACGAATACACTTCCAAAGCATTATATCAAACGTTACAAACAACAAAAATGAACTTTGAAAACTTGTTACGCCATAACAAGTTTTCAAAACCCCACAATTGCAATCCATTTCAATCTTCTTCAAGTTTGTCCATCCGGGCCTCCTTTTGTACTTGCTGTGTTATTTATACCTTCTTTTAAATTTTTGAGCGGTTATTTTTATGTTTCACTCAATTTGGTGGCAGTTCCTAGAGTTAGAATTTTGATAAAATTCCTGTCACAGTTCCTTTAACTGTCAATTACAGGGCTGTAGAGCAATAGTAGAAAAATGTCAAACCGGGGTAATCCTCCTCCTCAGCTTCCTTCAATGAAGACGCCCGAAAAAACTTGGCCCTCCAGCAAACTTAAGGTGGCTCGATACAGTTTTTTAGAGTGAATACCTCCCACGTTTAAAATTTTAAAAAATTTAAAAAATTATCGAGCGGTTTAAAAATTATTCGCTAATTTGTTAAAGTAGACCGAAATGTTTACATTACCGCTAATAAGAGCGCCCCGATACATAATAATCAAATCCTTCTTTCTTGCAATCGGCTGGAGGTATCTCCATGATCTTTCACACACGTTTTTAAAAAGATTGAAACTACTATAAGGTGAAATTGCATGTCAAAAGCGCTTCGTTTAGTACAGATAACAGTCGAACATCAAGATTTTCCATTTTTTTACCGTATTTCTAACCATAAAAACTTCGTCCCAAAATATCTCGATAACGCTCTTACAGATTTCGCTTAAACTTCACGAACATCGAGGCGGCTATTGTAGGAAAAAGCTCCAGTAAACGATTTTGGAAGAACAGTTCCCAGTGCCGAGAACTACTACTACAAGTATAATAATATACATGAAAAAATTTCTCGATTGTGACTGGCTACGAGGAATGCAGTTTTTAGGTAACACAGTGCAGAAAAAAGGTAATTGAGTGCAGAAAAGAGTAACAAACGTGACATTCTGATCGGCTAATAAACAAAGGAACTCACTGAGAGCCAATCAAATGCGCCATCTAAATGGCGCAAAATTTGGATCCGCTCCGGCCGGACCAGTTTCGAGCAAAAACCGCAGTGGTTGGCGATTGCAGCACATTTGCTTTTGCGACCGAAACAACTGTAGAGGAGCTGAAAAACTGCTCTAAAAACGAAAACACTGCGAAAAGCACTGGTTTTTGGCTCTCTTTTTGGAAGAATTGGTGCGTAGGTAAGGAAATTACTGATGAAATAGAAAATTATGAGCCGGCTGAGCTTAACACTTTGCCCGAGCATTTCTACGCCGAAGTAAACAATACAAAAAAGGTGAAGATTTATGAACCAGAAAGCCTTAAAGTAATGAAGGCATCGCTTGATAGATACTTAAAGAACAAAGGCTGCACCCTGTCCATTGTACGTGACCGAGAATTTAGTTCGTCCGAAGAGGTGTTGGAGGAAAAAGCGAAACAGCTTCGCTTGGCTGGCCGTGGTAAGCGCCCAAACAAAGCTCGGCAAGTATCAGAGGAGGAAGAAGAAATTCTCTGGAAGAGCGGAAAACTCGAGGTAATAACCCAGAATTTTTATTTCAAACACATTGAACAATTCCATGAACTGTTCAGCCCGTTTCTGCAGCTTGCAAACTTTAAAAACATCAAGCAAAATGTTGTTTTGACTGCACGTGTGATGATAATTGCAGCATTTGAATAATTTATTTTTGCACGCAGTTTACGCGGGTTGACTTCCTATTAAAGAGATTTTAAAGCTATCTCGCAATTTTTTCATGAATATTATTAATAAGTAATCACATAATTTTTCTCGTGCAATTTGGAATAAATAAGCACTCGGAAATTTTTTCAAAGACCACAAATTGCACTCGCCCTACGGGCTCGTGCAATTTGTTAGCCTTTGAAAAAATTTACTCGTGCTTATTTATTCCAAATTGCACTCGAAATCATGTGATTACCTATACAAATAGGTAATGGCGTCAATTCGTTGCCATGACATCTACGATGTCATTGCAACCCTGATCATAACAAAGTTTCATCTTTATCTAATACAACTGTGGTGTTAATTTTTCCAAATCTTTGTTTATGGCGACGTAGTTTACGCTCAAACTTGGGAGGTATTGACCTTGAAAAACTATATCGAGTCACCTTAAAACACGTCTCCACATATAATATTTTTAATTGGCTTCAGGTTCCTCCTTCGATCCCCCATTTCCCCCAGCTATTTAATTTGGGGGAGGAGAGCTAGCCAGTTTTATCTAACCACAGGTAGCCCAGACTCAATATGGGAGAGAACGTTTGAAAATAAACAAAATACGATCTGAATTACATTTTTTTAAAAAAAATTGGCAATGAAAATAACTCAACTTGTGTTTGTGTCGTGTGTTTTACTGTCTGTTTGCAAATCAAAATCTAAAACTCAATAAAACGGCTTCCAAGTGGCTCTACGTTCTCTGTAATATTCAAATCACAACGATCTTATAAAATTCAAATTCTAACGAACTCTCATATATAGAGTCTGGGCGGCCTGTGATCTAACCTTCCGTCCCTCCACATACAGCATTACTGGGTACCCTGGGTAGGGTACTGGATTATATTTTTGACCCCTAAATAACAATCGTTAAAATACCCATACAAACGTTTGTAATAAGTATTTCTATTATGCAACAATGATCCTCACTCGTGAGCTTGAGGTACCTGTGAGTCTACTCACCTGTATAGGATCCGCCCCGTTGTCCAGTCCATAATAAGTGCAGGCATCAAGAGGAGCATAGGCATATAAACCTACGATTCTCTTGGCAGTTTTGATGTTAATATAAATCAAACCACTAACCTGACAAACAGCAAATAAGAAAAACCAGTGAGACCTAAAGCAGCAGCTGGATGGGGTCACATTTTCACGACTGGGTTTACTATTATGGGGTTGCATTTTTACAAAAGCTACAAGAATCGGGTCGCACATTTTCAGGATTTTGGGGGTCAGAAAATCCAGGTATGTAGGGATTTAAAAATAGAAATATTCGCACCACAATAAGTTTAACAAATCAGGATGACCAAGTTGAAAGGCTTTATAAAAAGGTAGAGTCATAAACAGAAAGTGACCAAGTTGGGATTGCCAAAATTACTTTTTTCCCAAAGTGACTAACATGGGGTCTATAATATGGCCACAGAATAGACTATAATGGGGTAGGGGCTCTGAGAGGCCAGCGGCACATACCCAGCAAAAATTTACCCAAGTAACCCCCCCCCCCCCGGGAACTTAGACTATATGTTAAGAACTAATGGGCCTTAGATGAAGCTTACATGTACATGAACTTTGGCACATTATGTTAAACTCACCAGGATACCAATCTGCACATTTAGCCCTAAAAGTCTCAAGAGTTTTCAACAACCATTTTCTCCTAATAATATCAATACATAATCAAGAAAAAAGGATAGGAGAATTAAATAATACACAATCAGAAAACGATCACCAAAATGGGAAAATGCTTCGATCTTTTACAAAATTACATCTCTAGATCAGTCCGGAGAATTTAAACGTCCCCAGATATTGGGGCTTAAATCTCATTCTCAATGGTCATGGCAAAGGGATGTACCCCTGCTCTAGCTGTCCTGGCAGTATAACAGATGGAAAGTGTCCAATTTTATCAAAATGCTTGTTTACAGGAAGACGGTGCAATGTGTGAAGCAACGTTTTTGTCAAAGAGAACTAAGCCTTCGTTCCCTTCCCAAACTTCACCTCACCTCACGTGCTCTGACTCTTACACTTTGCAGTTACTCACCATGGGAATTTTGCCATTAGCAAGTGTGCAGCTCCTCATTTCTTCTTCGTTTCCTTTAAAGATGATATCTTTAACCTGTCCCTGTAAAAGAAGTAACCTCATGCATGTAAAAAAGGTCTGAATGATTGTTCAGTGCTCCAGTGCCAGAGTAATTTCAAGCATATCGTATTCTTTTTAACACTTTTAAAGGGCTATAGATATATTAATTAGTTATCTGTAATAACACCAAAGACAATTTCTTATAAGAGCCCAAGGAAATAAATTTCAAATTTCACAGGAATTGTGAGAATGCAGGTAAAATTTCATGCAGAAGCTTTCATTTTGTGAAATTTGAAATATATTTCCTCGGTTTCACATAAGAAATTTTCTTTGGTGTTATTACAGATAACTAATTACATCTATGGTCCTATTTGAAAGTGTAAAAACAGATGCAACATGCTTCAAATTATTCTAGTTAAAGGTTTTTGTCCACTGAAAATTAAAACTACTCAATTTCGTGATGGATTCTATCTTAAAAAGCTGAAGTTAAATGGAAGGTAATTTTCAAATGACCATAATACCTCTTTCCCCAGTTTTGCACATCCATGACCCTTTGCATAATCCATATCCCCTGGAAACAGAATCATAGCTATGCCATCTGAACACTTCTGCCAATCAATTCCTGACAATGAAAACCAAGATACACAAAAGAGACTGTAAAGCTTTCTCACTAACACAGGAAACACCATGAATAAATTAACACCAAATTCAACTTTGGCTCTGTGTTAAATTTTTTTAAGCTTATCATTGGCTGATTGGGGTGTAGAAGGAGCCTTTAAACTGGTGCTAACCAAAGATTAGAGAGCACAGGCAAGATTAAGGGTATAGAATGGTTGCTCGAAAAACGTGGGTCTCCAAGTGTTGTTTTTGGGTGACTTTGCGTCTCGCAAAGTCTTGAATTTACCATTCCATGCGCCTGAGATTGGTCAAAGGTCAAAACACTCAATGCTCTAGTGCTGAGCGTCACAAAAGTTTCACGTGACAGAAGGTCAAAACGCACGCAGCGCCTGGTCAAATTATGGGTGATGGATCTTTCATTAAATTCTTTCCTCTAATTCTTTAAATTTATGGAGATCACTCTGGACATTTTAGGGCTGAAAGGGTTAATATTAATAGTAATAATAATAATAATAATAATTATTATTATTATTATTATCATAAACAATAATATAATTTATATAGTGCCTTTTCTGAAGGCATACAAAGGCGCTTTACAAGTTATTTAATATCTAAAAAGTAAAAGAAAAAACTAACTACAAACTATCGTCGGAAAGTCCACAGAAGCTAAAATTAATAAAAGATTCAATGAAAAGCTTTCTTAACAAGGATATGTCTTTAATAAAGTCATTTCTTAAAAAATTAATGTCAAAAGCAGGGCTTGATTTAATGTAAAAAGGGACCAAATTCCAAAGTCTTGGAGCACAAACCTTAAAGGATCTATATCCGTATGCTCTAAGATTAAATGAGGGCTGCAAGCTACGCAATGGAGAGTAGGAATGTTAGCTAGATCACTTAAGTACTGGAGAGCCAAGCCTTGTATTCCTTTTATATAAAAAGCACAAATTCAAATTCAATAATTTAAAAATTTAATCTTACATGTATATGTTGTGGTTTAATTTTATCCTTGGTTTACATTTTATTTTCTTTTGTTTCAAAATCATTATCATATGATGTAATACTATACCCAAAATCAAACAAAAATAAAATTTAAACCAAGGACAAAATTGAACAGCGACATATACATGTACAGATAAAAATACCACATACTTGTGTCAGCTGAAACAGTAAGCATCATGTCTGTGCTGCAGACCCAAACTCCAGGGGGTGCATTTACAGATAACTGTAAAAAAGTAAAGACCTTTTAAAGATGACAACTGCATTAACGAGACGTGGATTGGATTCATGAATTGGATCAGCCCCCTGTTTTAACTCACTAAATGACAAAAGGTCAGAGATAAGTCTACAGAGGTTCATCCAATTTTGGTCGGGTCAGTTTGGCACACTCTACATGACTGGAAATTCAAGGACGTTTGAAGACTGCGAACCCTGAAAGTTAATGTAGGTTGCATCTGTTAAATAGCGTTGAGGAGAAAAGTTCTACTTTTTTAAAGTTTTCATTCCAGAATTTCTGGAGTCACAATGACTCATCCCTCCGTAACCAGCTGCACTGGAGTGCACAAGTATTTTGGCACAAAATAAGCCAAATTGGGCATACTTGTGGACCCCGCCGGTAATTCCAAAGAGTTTAAGTTCAAAATGGAAAATCTAAATGGGAGGGGTGGAGGGGAGGGGGGGTAACAGTTATTGAATTCTGAGGGCATGGAGGGAAGGGGGAGGGATTGAAATGTGGAAGAGGCCCGTGGTATGTATGGTATGGATATTTTCTAGAATTGTCCAATAGTACATTCTGAGCCATGTACATAATTTGGTATAACATGATAAACAGGCAAAAATATTTACATTTACAGGTAGTGAAGCCAGTGAGTCTGCTGTCATTTGTGTGCACCAAGCAACCCTATGACGTTCAAAAAGTAATTTTATTTGCGTAAACTTTCTGTAAAAAAGGTATCTTGCTCAATATTAAGTGGCTTTTCCATCTCAGTGTGCACTGTAATAATACATTTTACATGTTATTTTGAACGGCCTTTGTACATTGCTCTAGATCTTAATATTAAGAAAGCCAACTTAGAAAACTATGAGGTGAAAAAAAAAGTTGCGTATTGTTGACGCATACTCTTCAGAGTGCGTGCTAGCTTTCGTCAATAAGTTAACAAAGAAGACGCCTGAAGGCGTTTACGCGGGATGTGTTGGTGTAAGTAAGAGTTACGTAGAATGGTATTGGAAAGTTGAGCAGTGTATCAACAACAAATGTGAGCAGGAGAGACGGAGATGTTCTGTTAAATACACTAGAAGATGAGTTAAACACAAGGGTTCCTTTGCTCCTCAAAACAAAAGTTACATCAATATTACAACCACATATGTTAAGTGTATGGGTAGTATTGCATTCCGGCTTTACTAATATCCTCAATAAATGCACTTCCAGATTCAACAATAGCATGTCTCAAGTGTATCAGACTTCCAATAACTACAGGGCGCAAGGCTATGCTCTAAGGAAAATTTTCAGGGAGACCACATTTTAGCTGGGATGCCAAGGCCTAAAAGATGGTCACCCAAATTAAACTTTCGGGGAGCCCTTCAAGCTCCCAAACATTTTAGCTGGGGTGTCCGGGCCCCCAAGTTGGCCAAATTAATAAATCAGTGAGCTGTTGGTTAATCAACAAAAATCAAACAAATTATTTTCTAAACAAGTCAGGCAGAATTTTTATTTTTATAAAAAATCACATCCTTTGACCTCCTATGCGTGCCAAAAACAACCCACATGTTGTCATATGAAAGCAATGAACCCATCCAAGTTTTTGCACCATATGAAAAAAAGTGCAACGCCACCGAATATTTCATGTTTATTAAATGGAAAAGAAGACACAAGGGACACAAGGGAAAGGGGGGACACGGTGGACATAGGAAACACAAGGAGACAAAAGGAACATAAGGGAAACAACGGGACACAAGCAACACAAGGGAACACAGACGAAACAGGAAACACAAGGAACACGGGGAACACAAAAGACAGGTGACACAAGGGGATACAGGGGACACAGAGGACACAAGGGACAAAAGGGGAAACAGGGGACACATGAGGACACAGTGGACACAAGGGGACACAGGGCACTCAAGGGAAACAGGGAGCACAGGGGACACAAGGGGACACAAGGGGACACAGGGAGCACAAGGGGACACAAGGGACACGGGGGACAAAAAGGACACTGCGAACACAGAAGACAAAAGGGGACACAGGGGACACAAGAGGATACAGGGGACAAAAGGGACAAAAGAAACCCAGGGGACACAAGAGACAAAGGGGACAACAGTGACAACAGCAACAACAGTGCTAACAGTGACAACAGCGACAACAGTGACAACAGCGACAAGAGCAACAACAGGGAGAACAGCGACAACAGTGCTAAAAGTGCGAACAGCAACAACAGTGACAACAGCGACAACAGTGACAACAGTAACAAAGGTGCTAACAGTGACAACAGCAACAACAATGACAAAAGCGACAACAGTGCTAACAGTGGCAACAGCGACAACAGCAACAACAGTGACAACAGTGACAACAGTGACAACAGCGACAACAGTGACAACAGCGACAACAGTGACAACAGTGACAACAGCAACAACAGTGACAACAGCGACAACAGCGACAACAGTGACAACAACAACAACAACAATGACAAAAGCGACAACAGTGCTAACAGTGACAACAGCGACAACAGCGACAACAGTGACAACAGTGACAACAGCGACAACAGTGACAACAGCGACAACAGTGACAACAGTGACAACAGTGACAACAGTGAACAGCAACAACAGTGACAACAGCGACAACAGTGACAACAGTGACAACAGCAACAACAGCGACAACAGACAACAGTGACAACAGCAACAACAGCGACAACAGTGACAACAGTGACAACAGCAACAACAGTGACAACAGTGACAACAGCAACAACAATGACAAAAGCGACAACAGTGACAACAGCGACAACAGCAACAACAGTGACAACAGCGACAACAGTGACAACAGTGACAACAGCAACAACAGCGACAACACTGACAACAGTGACAACAGCAACAACAGCGACAACAGCGAAAACAGTGACAACAGCAACAACATCGACAACAGTGACAACAGTAACAAAGGTGCTAACAGTGACAACAGCAACAACAATGACAAAAGCGACAACAGTGCTAACAGTGACAACAGCGACAACAGCGACAACAGTGACAACAGTGACAACAGTGACAACAGTGACAACAACAACAGCAACAACAATGACAAAAGCGACAACAGTGCTAACAGTGACAACAGCGACAACAGCAACAACAGTGACAACAGTGACAACAGCGACAACAGTGACAACAGTGACAACAGCGACAACAGTGATAACAGCAACAACAGTGACAACAGCGACAACAGTGACAACAGTGACAACAGCGACAACAGTGCTAACAGTGACAACAGCAACAACAGTGACAACAGCGACAACAGTGACAACAGTGACAATAGGGACAACAGTGACAACAGCGACAACAGCGACAACAGTGACAACAGCGACAACATTGACAACAGTGACAACAGCAACAACATCGACAACAGCGACAACAGCAACAACAGCGACAACAGTGACAACAGCGACAACATTGACAACACCGACAACACTGACAACAGTGAAAACAGCAACAACAGTGCTAACAGTGACAATAGCGACAACACTGGCAAAAGTGACAACAGTGACAACAGCGACAACAGTGACAACAGTGGAAACAGTGTCAACAGCAACAACAGTGACAACAGCGACAACAGTGACAACAGCGACAACAATGCTAACAGTGACAACAGCGACAACACTGACAACAGCGACAACAGTGACCACAGCGCCAACAGTGACAACAGTGACAACAGCAACAACAGTAACAACAGCGACAACACTGACAACAGTGACAACAGAGACAACAGTGACAACAGCAACAAGAGCCACAACAGGGACAACAGTGACAACAGTGCTAATTAAAAGTGCAAACAGCAACAACAGTGACAACAGCGACAACAGTGACAACAGTAACAAAGGTGCTAACAGTGACAACAGCAACAACAATGACAAAAGCGACAACAGTGCTAACAGTGACAACAGCGACAACAGCGACAACAGCAACAACGGCGACAACAGTGACAACAGCAACAACAGCGACAACAGTGACAACAGCTGCAACACTGACAACAGTGACAACAGCGACAAAACTGCCAACAGTGACAACAGCGACAACAGTGAAAACAGTGACAACAATGAAAACAGTGACAACAGCGACAACAGTGAGAACAGTGCTAACAGTGACACCAGTGCTAACAGTGACAACAGCAACAACAGTGACAACAGTGCTAACAGTGACAAAAGCGACAACAGCAACAACAGCGACAACAGTGACAACAGTGACGACAGTGACAATAGTGACAATAGTGACAACAGCAACAACAGTGAAAACGGCGACAACAGTGACAACAGCGACGACAGTGAGAACAGTGACAACAGCAACAACAGTGACAACAGCGACAACACTAGAACAGTGACAACAGTGACAACAGCGACAACAGTGACAACAGTGACAACAGCGACAACAGTGACAACAGCAACAACAGTGCTAACAGCGACAACAGCGACAACAGTGACAACAGTGACAATAGAGACAACAGTGACAACAGCGACAACAGTGACAACAGTGACAACAGCGACAACACTGACAACAGTGACAACAGCAACAACAGTAACAACAGCGACAACAGTGACAACAGTGACAACAGCGACAACAGTGACAACAGCGACAACAGTGACAACAGCGAGAACATTGACAACAGCGACGACAGTGACAAACACAATAAAAATCAATCACAATAAAAATCTTAAGTTATGTTCTAGCCTAGCAGACAGAGAAGTAAAAACAGGTAAAAATATTTACTTTTCATAAAACTGAGGGGACTCCGTGTTTATTCAGAGATTTTTTAACATACTACAAATACATTTTTGCAAAACTCTCGGGCTTTATCATGAGGCCGCTCGATTAACGGACTGGTCTTCTTCTTTGCTGCTCTCGCTGAAGTTCAGGTCACCGTTCTTTCTGTGCTAAACCTTCCACGGCAAGGATTTCCAGCCACTTGTCTAATCGGGCAGTGTTGTGTTTGCAGCCTGCTGTTATTTGCCCAAGAAATACTTTGCGATTCACCAAAGTACAATATATAAATAGAGGATGAATAAAATGAGCCCAAGTCGCTGGACGTGTTGCCTGGAAACCCAAAGTACACGATGACGTCATGTTGAATGGCACCTTTAGGATTTGTTTATGGCTTGTTGCTAGGCAACTGCGGATACCAAACCGATAGAAAGATTTATGACCAAAGCGAAATCACAGTTCGCTTGCGATCCTTGCATGCGTGCGACAAAATAATTATTATAAACTCGCTTTGCTCGCGGCCTAACGTCCGTTCGTTCCGCGAGAACAAAACCTTTCTTTCACGTTGCCGACTGTACTTTTACCCCTGTCAGAGCAGAAGAAACAACTTCTTTTGAAAAGCTTACTAATGAACCATCCTAATTTGAAGAAAAAATTTTAATGCTATTTTCAAAAGATGTTAAAATCGACAAATTAATGTGCAGCTTGTCACATTCATAGTCAAGGATTATGTTACATTTGAATTCCTGTGGAACGATCTTTGAACATCAACACGCGCCTAGTAGTGCCCAATTTACATGTAACAACATTTTCTTTTAAACAGCGAGTGCTGTAAGCTGGAGCACAGCCTTGACTTTTTCCTCCTCTATGCGGTAAGCTTTGCTGACGCACCATCTTTTTTCTGCTTGTTCAATCCAACCTGACTTACACGTGATTCGAAGTTGCAGCCATTAAAGATCACACAATTTTCGGGACGGGCACAGAATACGGGAAAGTAAAAAAGTTAGCACTTCATTTACACTGCAATAATGGGTTTTCCAAAGCACTCGCGTGACAGTCTTGCGTATAATTAATTCCATATTAGGAAGTAAATTTTGATTGGTTCTCCAAAAAAACCCAGCTGCATTGGCTTCAGGATTATCATACGCTTCCGTTTCAATAAAATTGGAAATATACAAATTTAGTGCACAGATGAATTTAGGAGAGCCCAAGGGGTCTGTTACTGCTTTCCTCTTCCTTTGCATGGAAATTTTATAAGTATGTCGATAGCTTTCTGAAATAGTGTGGCACTGTTTTTGTTTTTTATTACTTTGCCATTGCGTTACTAGGAGCTGTCAAGTTAACCATTTTTTGATTGGATTACAGATAATTTGCTTTTACTCTCAATACATGTATTTTAGATGTTATTATAAATAGTAAACGGAATGATGTCGATCAACTTTGTCGGTTCTTATCGTGAACAGAAACAATGAACAGATGTTACTGATGTATTTTAGGTTTGCAAGCTCACGCGATATAACTATTCAGATGTAATCAGCGTTTGTTCGGAAGGGTCCTTCCTGGAAATACAGACTAACAGTACATCACTTTCGAAGGAGTTCGATTTATTACTCATCCTCAACACAAATTTGGTCCTTCAAGCGGGATAGGGAGCAGATACGGATTCAAGGAACGAAGAGAATCATGTCTGTGGATGTAATCAGCTTTTGTACAGAACGGGTCCTTTTTGGAAATACCGTAGATCACTTTGAAAGGAGTTGGATTTATTACTCATTCTCAACACAAGTACTCATTTTAGCAATACTTTTAAAATCTGTACTGTAAATTATTCCTCCCACAAAAATGAAAGGCTGACAAAACTTACCACATTTGAAACAAGGTGCAAAAGAAGATCAAAATTAGACACCAAAGCATCACACAAATGTTCCTTGGATTTCTCAGTGTGTCTAGCTGGCAGGGTATTAAAAAACCTTCCACAAGAGCTAAATGGAAAGTCTCGACCCTGCAAGAAACAAACAAAAGAGAAATTTTATAAAATGTAATCAGTGTTTACTGCCATTGGAAGGTGAATCAATACATGTAGGACATTAAATCACAATGAAGAATTTATTATTTGAGCAAATCATAGGGTGCAGGAAATCCCCATCTAAAGATTGGGGTCCTGGCATCAATGCAAGAATATGCTTGACATAACAGGTTCCAAGAATCCCTAATTAATAATAATAGATGAGA